ATTATTGGGCCGTGCATTATCGGGTCGTACATTATAGGGACCCTTCAGGAGCGTTCAGGAGGCTTGTGCGGACAATTGCGTTTTTACTAGTTTTTATATTTATACACTTATTTTACATAAAAGTATATCAGATACGAGCATACCAGCACCGCCGCTTTACTTTTAAAGTAAAATAATAAAAAAAACTTCATTTAGCACCTTCTAAATTACTAATATTTGTACATACAACATACCTCGATCATTGCGGCGGCATCCGGTTGCAGCAAAACACCGATTCTTTGTTCGTGCAAGTTGGGAATGACATAGCATCATGTACAACGACGATAGAACTTTTGATGATATCGAAAAAGATTTTAATGATATTGAGGCCACGAAAGCGTGGTCAAAAGTTTATCAAGTAAGTATTGCGTGGGTGAAATGAGAGGGTTTATGCTGTATATGCCACGTACGCACGACGCCTGCATTTTATCTAATTTCTTAACCTTACCACCTTTATTATTAATTACGTATAATTTGTAAAATATGATATAATTTGTGCAAGATGCAATCTGTACTATTCAACATGTCAAGGTCGAAATGGATCCCTTAAAGATTGATTTTATGTTCGTCAATACAAAACGCCACGTGCAATTGAGGTTATAATTCCGACTAAATCTTCTTGTTATGCTCTTTTACCTATTCAATCCAACTGAGGTGGATAGAATCAGTCATTATAACACTATGTTCATAAGGTTCCAAATAACACCAACCAAGGGCTTGATAACAAACATTTCAGATTTTCAATAACATTGTCAAATTGACTTGCTTCAGTTAAAAATTGAAACCGGAATGAAAACAACAACAATGTAATGTCTGTATGAATGTTCTGTAACATAATATGCATATGTACACTCACAATAGCTAGGTTTAGTATCAAATCCACTTAATTTGTCTAAAGATAAATCTGAAAGAACATCTGTGAATTTTAAAAGTCCACAATGTTTTGTTTATAAGGCCCGGAAGTTATATTTAACTATTTCTGTAGCAAAAGGCAATAGCTGCTTTACTGAAACAGCTTCTTATCCATGAATAAATTAAAAACATTTTTTTCATTGTCAATTAACTTTAATATTTAATAATAATATATACCTTTTACACTTAAATTTTTTATTTCAGAAAATTGGCCGCTCATGTATATCTTATCCATATACATATACAGAAGCTAAGCGGATAGAAAACAAAGAGCTAAACCGCTACCGGGATGTATACCCATTTGATCATACTCGTGTCATTTTGAAAAGAAGCAAGACTGATTACATCAATGCCAACATTGTGCCAGTAAGTGTTGCTTTTATATTTCTATAGTCTATATACTATTTCTTGCATTGGATTTGTTAATTATGCTACCTTATTTATAAAGAGCCTTTGCAGAGGAAATGTACAGTTTTATTTGTCTTATTAATGATAGTTCTTTGAAAATGATTTTGCTTGATAGTCTGTCCCTTTCAGTTTAGTCTCACTTTTACTTAAGTTTATGTGTCTAAACCTAACATGAATAACAGTATAAATGTAGGATAGATGATGTGGTGGCCATTTAATAGCCTAAACGGAGAGTCTTTCTATTAAACTATTGGAATATTTACTAAACCTGAATAATGCATACCATTTAGTCTAGGGATCTGTGTGTGTCGGTATAGAGACTAATAAAGAATGTTCTTTTGGATATCTTTTACATGCATGGATAAGTTATGAAGTTATTTTTGCAAATTAGCAATAACTAGCTGTTCCCATGCGGCTTCATCTGCATGAAATTATAAAAACTTCATTTTATTGTTTACATTTGTCAAATTATCAATAGCAAATGTCCAAATGACATAACATGAATAACCTTAGCAATCTTACTTTCTTGATGTTGGCAGCAACTTATGGTTTACACATTAGGGTTTTTATCCAAAATATTTCCCCCTAAGTTTAATGGCGTGAAAATATATAGCCTAAAGTGTGAAGTAAGTGTAGGGCTTTTTATTAAAAAATATGCTGTAATTGCTGAGATCTTAGGCAACAAAGAAGTGTGTATTTATGCTTTATTATAATAGTATAGAAGTATAGATATAAAAAAAAATTAGAAAGTAATGGTTACCATATGTTCTTTTGCTATTGCAATTGTATTACGATAATGAACAAAATATTAGTTATCCTCTTTTATTTGATGGTTTCAAAGCATAAATCATCATGGTATGCATGTAACTTTCTTGTTTGTTAATGAGGGAATTTAAATGGAAGGAAATAGCATGTTTCATATGTATGTATTCATATGTTTACAAAGTGTTAGTCATTTGATATATTAAACAGAGTACTGCAATAACTCAACAAGGTCACATTGCAATCCATTACAAACATAATATGGAGACTGCCCCTTGAGTGTACTATCTTTCTATCAAGTTGACCTTACATGTAATTAATTCTTAGTATTTGAAATACATGCATGGGGTTATATTATTATTAATTGTATCCTTCAACTCACTTCATTTGTAATGCTTATCAATTACATTTGAATTATCATTTAGCATGTTGTGAATGAAATGTTTTCTTGCAAGAATCTCACTTCATCTAACTAATACTATAAATGCGAAAGTTTAGATGGATGGATGGATAGATGGATGGATGGATGGATGTTTGTTAGCGTTTGTAGCCTAAACGGCTGAACGGCTCTCTATGAAATTTGGTACAGGTTTAGAGCATAGCCTGGAAGAACACATAGGCTACTTTTTATCCCGGGAATAGTTACGGTTCCTGTGGGATTCATTAATTTAGTTTTTTTAATTTTTACTCGATCATTCTGCAACGGTTCAACATATCTTATTGAAATTTGGCACAGATATAAAACAAAGTCAGGAGTACACATGGGATAAGCTTCATCCCCGAGAAATGTCAGGTTCCCGAGGGATACGTAACTTTTTGTAATTTATATAGTTTTTATGTTTTCTAATACCACGCGGACGAAGTTGCGGGCAACAGCTCGTAATATTATAAATGCTAAAGTTTAGATGTGTAAATTAATGTTAGATTTTACGTGTTAATGGCTGAATAGATTTCGATGAAATTTGGCATAGATGTAGAACATAGTCTGGAGGATAACCTACTTACTTTTTTTTAATCCAACGACAAGTCTGACTGCGAGGGGGGCAACTCGTGATTTTATAATTAACACAAATATGTTTGTCGCAGGTGGAACGTGCAAATAAGAAATATATATTAACACAAGGACCACTTGGTTCAACCGTTGGACACTTCTGGTTGATGGTTTGGGAGCAAAATAGTCGCGGTATAGTAATGTTAAACAAAATCATTGAGAAGAATGAGTGTAAATGCTTCTATTACTGGCCCCAAGGCACTGGTGAAGAGTTCAAATTAGTGCTTAATGATGTGAAGTTAACAGTAGAACAGATCAGTGAGACAGAAAATCCTGGTTACTTCACTAGATTGTTTAAGTAAGTCTCAATTCATACAACTTCTTTAGATTAAATAAGCCAATTGTGACATTGATGTAATGCTCTTTACATATTGTACCAATGTTTAACTAATATTGATATTTTTAGACTTGTGGACATGGAAACACTGGAATACCGATTAGTGTCACATTACCATTACATAACTTGGCCTGACTTTGGAGTGCCATCTTCACCAATGGCATTCCTCGACTTTTTACTTACTGTACAAAAGTCAGGTGCTTTGGATGCTGAAGCTGGCCCACCGATTGTCCACTGCAGTGCAGGCATTGGACGCTCCGGAACATTCTGCCTAGTGGATGCATGCCTTTCTATAGTAAGTTCACTGTTAATATTGATTATAATAGTTGTGCACATAATGTGATTAAAGTCTGCAGACTAAAATAAGTTCCAAACAGTCAAAATTTCCCCATGAGTCCTTAGTATGGCATAGTATGGCATACAAGTGCAGATGTATATAAAAGATTATTGTTTTATAAGAACATGTTATATGTTCACAGATAGAAAAGGAAGGACAGAAGTACATTGATATTCAGCAGATGGTTATGGAAATGAGGAAGAGCCGAATGGGTTTAATCCAGACAGCTGATCAATTGCGCTTTGCTTTCCGTGCAATTATAGAAGGAAATAAGAAACTGGTGAGTTAATCTGCCTGATTTTTTACTTAAATTTACCTGCTTAATTTAACTGTTAGTTATACTTTGACTGAATATCTATAAATATAGCCTGTACTTTATATTTTGTACATTAACATATAATATGCTACTGGAAAGAAAATATTGAACTTTATCTTACTTTTCGCAGTATGATTCTATGTATATTGGAAACTAATTAAGAGAAAATATATTTTATAATAATTTTCAAGATAAAAACATTTTGTAAATCATGTCTTTCAATATTTTTTGTAAGTGCATAATAGACGATTGTGTTATATTGTACTGACAGAATGTTTATTAATTGAAGTTTTTTTTATTTGTTACAGCAACACAAACACACTATGGATGAAAGTATTTACTCAGAGGTTATTGAAGGAGATGAGGAGACCGCGCCGTTGCCGCCGCCGCGAGGAGAGAGCCTCAGCAAAGCACCAGCTCGACCGCTGCCAGCTATACCTGCCAGCGCTTCCCTTGGTAAGTTATAAGTTATGTTGACTTAATTAAATAACTAGCTGTTTCCTTGCAACTTCATCCACATTAAATTATAACATTTTATTGTTTACATTTGTAATTTCGGTTGCTAATGTCAAGATTAAAATTCACAAATGACAATAAAACCCTTTCCCATTTGCTAACAATTTCTTTCTAGACAATCTAGCTAAGCAATGTGTACTGTGTAGTGACTTGTACTTTCGAGTTGTCGAGATATATGTATCCTAGAAGTTACAAGATACTATTTTATTTCTAATACAATAGAACCTTGATAACTCAAACATTGGTAACTTAAAAACTTCTATAACTTCAAAAACTAACGTTCTCTACCCATCAGAGCCCAAAACGTCTATAACTTAAAATATGCAAACTCTTTAAGTTTAATAAGTAATCTCTGTATTAGCCCGCAGTAACTTAAAGAAATGTTTCCACAACCTCTATAGTATAAAATTGTTTGTCAATGAGTCATTTTGAATGTGTGTGCAAAACAAAAGGTATCGATATTTATTGCTTGCACGACCATTTACAGAGCAATGTAACAACGTAAAAGATAATGTATTCTCCTCTCTATTTGTCATAGAAAATCACACTTTTTATTAGTAGACTAAACTTGCAATGTACAACTTTAAATTTCAATATCTACCAATCCTTTTGACGCATTCGAGTAAAAATAGAAACAAGGGAAGAAACAACACAATAATCAAATCGTGTCTTTATTTATTCCAGGAAATATGGTGCATGCTTTGATATCTGAATGGTCAAGCTCCGATGAGGATACTACAGCTGTTCCGGCTCAGGAGGAAACGAAGGTCGTCCCGTCTGAGGAAGAAGATAATGACGTCACCTTGCCAACTGAGAGGTGAATATGTTATTCTAGAATTATTTAGGACTTCATTTTTATTAATCATACTAATTTAAAAGCGAAAATTTAGATGGATGGATGGATCCAGATCCAGGTTTTTGTTATAGTTTGTAGTCTAAACGGCTAAACGGATTTCGATGAAATTTGGTGTAAACGTAGAGGATAGTCTGAAAGAACACATAGGCTACACTTTTGTTTATTTTAATTCCACGCAGACGGAGTCGCGGGCGTAAGCTAGTAACAAATATTTTTTACTAGCTTATGCTCACGACTTTCGCGTTGAATTAAAAAACAAAACTATTTATAAATAAAGTTATTTAGGACAAGTTAGTTTTAGTTTATTTGTTACAAATAAAAATGAAAATCTTTTCTCTTTATCAAGAAGTTTAGTACTAACTGGTGCTTACGACTTTCCTCGAGTGTAATTAAAAAAATAAACACTGTAGCCTATATTACTCACTGATAACGTAGTTTTTTAATGGTGTAAGAATTGAAATAGGCCTAGTAGTATGTGTTATTCCAATAAATTAAAAAAAATACAAATCTTTCTTCTTTTACAATATTAGTATAGGTAGATTAATAAAGGCTTAATTAGCGTAGAAGAAATGAATGTTTTTATTAGAAAAAGCAGTGAAAATATGTATGTTATTAGCAGTGAGGCGTCGAGTAGTCTGCGGCGGCGGAACACGAGCGAGCCGCCCGAGGACGCGCCGGCGAAGAAGCGACACGCAAGAAAATCATCAAATCAGTGGAATGCTATCAGGAGGTCTCTATTCAAGCCAGTTACTCTTACATTTGGCTTCCTACTCGTCGGCATCTTTATATACTCATATGTGAAACACTAGATATATTCGTTTATGTTATATTTTTAATGTGTGAATTAGAAAGGTAAAAGATTAATTCAGCTTTAATGCTCCGTCTAATTTGGAGCTCTGGTATATTATTTATAGCATAGGATGTCTTTTAACCAGATAGAACGAGATACTGGATGCAAATGAGAAGACGGCACGAGGTGTTGGTGCCTTGCTAGAAGCTTTTGCCCGGCATGATTCGACTGTTCGGGCTGGGGATTGAACTAGAGAGCACTTTGTTAGACGGAATATTAAAATTAAGGAATATTATTGGGGAATAAAATGTACTCGAAAAGGACCTCACACCGAGCAACATGTATGCATGGATTTTTGAATGTAGAAGCCTGAAAGAGATGTGCTAGGTCCGCGTAGGTCCGAAATCTACCTAACCCTCTGGGTCACGGGCGTGAGTTGTATTATTTTTGTTGTTATCTTTAATAATGAACCTTCTTAGCGGTCTTAATACATAGGTTTATTGTCTTCACCGCTTGTGAAATCTTAATACAAGATTTAATTACCTTGCCCGTGTAATGTGTATATAAATAGTAGAAATGATCGATTTAAATTACGGGTCTTTGTTATAATTGACATCGCGCATCATTTCATCACAATATTCATCACACCTTTGATACAAAATAATAATAATCAATATTTATGTTAAATTTAAGAAATATTTTAATCCAGAACACCAATAATGTTTTAATGGATAACAATATAATTGTTTCATGATAATTTATGTAAATATGTAGGTTTTTATTGATAAGACATTTCGAGAGCCAGTTACAATTTCTTATTATACATATGAATTTTTAACTTAATAACTTTTATATCGAAGTAAATATACATTGTCCTATTCAATCGAAATACTCTAGTATGTTACTAACGTCCTATATATAATATTACAAAAAGACTTACGAAATATAACCGCTCGTACCAAATAAGCCCTTTACAGAAACACCAATACTGCCTATATGTGTATTTATAACTAGCACTTTAGATTACTATATTTAACCTTCGACATAATAGCAAATTTTTTTTTGTTTTTGTTTGTATTTAATAAGGTAGTTTGCAAGAAATATGAAATTGTGTCCGTGCGTTTGCACAAATTAGTTGATATCATTTTATAACAATATCATTTTTGTGAAATATTTACAGGTATTGAATATTATATGAAATAATTTAATTCAATTATGTAATTTAAACTAATATGAGCTTAATCTCATTAGATAAATATTAGCATGTAGTTAGTTTGTGTGTGTTTGTGTAATATATAAATTTATTTATATGTAGACTGAATTATTTTTATCAAAACTTTGATTTTGTCAACAAGCAATGTTTTAAAAAGTCTACAGTCTATGATTTTATCTTGGAATTAATTCAAATATATATTTACGACGACTTTATGAGAGGAATCCATCGAAATGTATGAAGAATCAATTGTCGACAAAAAGCAGTAACTCTGGATGATGTTACAGTGATTGTAAATAAATATGATTTAGTAGAGTTTAGTAGATCGAAGTTTCGGACAAAATCAGCTTATTTTTGATTCTTGAATTAGTGTTCCAAAATTTCGAAATTCCAAATAAAATGCATTGCAAATACTAAGAATGTAAAGAATTGCATTTTGTCGATTTTTTATATGAAATTTGTTTTATAGTGAAACCATGTTAATTGTTTATCGTAAATATTGTATTTGTAAATAAATACAAACACACACAAATAAATAAATTAAGGTAGAAGCCGCGTGTGTCGAGTAATCAATGATAATATTCGTATGAAATTATAATTATATGAAACTTAGTTAAGTATGTAGAAGCTGCTTGGAATGTAAGCAGTACAATTATGGAGGAGTTTATTAAACTTTGACTGTTTATAATATTATTTTAGTTTTGGTCTCGCAACTTATGCAAATGCGGAATTGCAAATTTGTTAGGCACAAATAATCATTTTTATTGTGTATCAGATCTTTTTTGTTATGTGAATTGAATTGTACAGAATATGAATTCATGTGTACACTTGTTAATTCATTAATAATGAATTCATATTGTAAATCCTCACGTGATTTTTTGTCATGTTTTTTTTGTCTTTTACAACTTTAATTAATAATGCAGAAGGCATTTGAAGTTCAGTACCATCAAGTTATCTGATGAGTTCACTTCCATACGTAAAAATAGTAATGGCGCTGAACGTATTAATAATTAAAGATTAAGGGCTAGTGTTAGGATCTTCTTGTAAATGCCAGGATTAAAATTAATAAAGTTAAATAAAACAGGGCTGTGCAGAACTCTCCAACTGTTCACTGTTCTTGTGGTTGGCTAAAATTTTGATTTATCGAAATTGTGCAAAGGATGAATTTTAAATGGCGAGTTAGTGGTTAAATGTTGTGTCGTTGTCGTTAAATACATTGTAAGCAAAATGCTTGTGTCCCTTATTGCTGAATCCCGCCGCTGCGCCACATTCCGCTTTGCCACAATTTTATTATTTCATGTATAAATTAACAATATCCCCACTACCATTAAATATACGAAAATTTGGTAATATGTGTTTTAAGCATTTTTTTAATAAGCACAGTATTGCAGTAACACTTTTGTATATTTAAAGTTGATTAGCTCTTAGAATGTTTGTATAATATAATTAATATAATATAATATGTATAAAACAATATTGACAATTCTCTATTAACCTATTGTAAAATATGCATAACTTAAAGCAATTAGCCCGATGGGCGAGGCCTCTTAACAATATATTGAAGAGTATAGTGTTGTAGTGCGAAACTGTGTATGTGTTACTGTAAGGCCTCGAACTCCGGTACAATAAGATTTACAAAACTATACGTGGTAAAAGTCCGTAATTGAAATCTTGATAATTTATTAATTGTATACAGCGAAATGAACAGAATTCTTCACTCTTCCCGTATATCTGGTTGTCGTACTTTACAGTAACATTATATACTTAAAGTTGGATAAATAATGTTAATCTAATAGAATCTATGTAATGCGTATTATGTGGCATGTATAAAACATTACATATAATAACTTTCTATTAATTTAAAACAATACCATTTAAGAGAACCAGCTAGAATTTCTCATATTTAGGATCTTCCTGAACAAAGTAACCTCCCTCAATTTAGGTTCTTTGGAAATGAGAGATGGCAAAACTGCAGATTTATTATTCTGATAAGCTAGAACAGCATTTGTTCTGATAAATTACAACAGACGTTGTCAATCATTCAGATAACTAGATTTAGGACTGAGCTATTAAATGCTGAAATACTTCCACTTCTCACCTGTCTTCTGTGTGGTCATTTTGATTCACCGGTTGAGTTGGTGATTCTGGTAGACATCAAGGATGCCGCGGGCTATACCGCTGTTGTCCCTATACCCATTATTTTCAATATGAAACAACTTGAACAGTTGATTTATGATGCTCTGGTAAATTAGGAAATATCGGAAATAATAAAAGTGGAGAGTGGACTGCATTTCACCAGGAAGCAGACCAAGAGCGCCCTCTCTTCTATTGATGCATTGTGCTGACAAGGGTAAGGAGGTCGTCGTTAAGAAACTACCATTATTAATCAATACGTTTATTTTAAATTAAACACATATTTGTCAATTGCTACAGAGTGTTTTATAAGTTTCAAACATTGCACGTTCTAAGATGTACATCAATATGGAGTAACAGTAGATATGAATGGCACAACTATGGAAATGGCACCTACATAGAACATATTCTCGATTCGGTATCTGACATTGCCAAGAACTTATCTGTAATATATAATTTATTTTAATTCAATCAACAGATATAACATTAAATTTAAAATCTAGATTACAAAACGTTCTTCACAAGAATTCCTTTTACTTTATTCCTTATTAGCACACATATCTGTTACCAATATTTATGTTTAATCACAATACAAGGTCACTCGAGCACATTTTTTTGTCGAATTAAAATAACATCGTTTCGTTAAAAGACTACGAATATATTATTCTGATTAAAACATTTCATATTACAAAGGCAAAAGTTTCTAGTATCATTTGATACGTAATTCTACATTCTTTAATCCTTTGCGGTGTTCCATTATAGAAAAATTGCCTTGTTCCTTGCAACGAGACAAACTCCGCCTCTTACAAAGAGGTACCAGTGAGTTGCGCAAACGCCGGGACGAATATCAAAAGCAATTCGTGCACAAATGACCGACCTTTTGCGTACATACACATTTATTAGCTCTTTTAGGTGTCGTCTCAATGCGTACAAAACGTTCAAGAGAGTATTTAAAGTGGAACACCGCTAGATTACCCGATTGAATATGGAGGTATTCATCTTTGTTTAATAACTTCTATTTTCATGTTTTTCCGATTTTTTAAGTCTTAACTAGTCTTAGATTAACTTTTGTATTATTGCCCGCTTAAGAAACGACGATTCGATAAAATGCACAAGACTACCGAGATTTTTAATTTTAATTAAAAATAAGCTTTGCATCTTATTTTAGACACCAGTTAAAATTATTTATTCATATTTAATTCAATATAAAAGACGAAACGTCGCGTACATTATTAATAATAAAACTAGTCCATATTAATCCTTCTTTTGTCTTTGTCTTCGTAATTTCTACAATATTTTTTATTAATTAGCAAAAAGACCCCATTCTTAAAAAAAAATTTAATATAACATGTGCTATACTTTAAGTAATATTTAAATTTATTAAGATTGTTCTCTATTTTTCAACTGAAATATTAGAAAATATATCATTCGCTAAATATCGTGTCCATACTTCTATTTTAATATCTTAATATGGCATTTTCATTACAATCAATATATGATTTTATCATTTTTAATAAAAAGATAAATACTTTATTTATGATTTGTATGGACATTCCCGAATCATATTGGACAATACCATAGTTCAACCTTACCTAATTTTTTCTTTTGCATATTGTAACACTCCATATTGCATAAACCTTTATAAAAATATTTTTAACAACATCTTATTAAGTAGATAGTAGATTATTTTTTATGAAAATTTAGATTTTCGATAACACAATACCTTCAAGGCAAGAGGTACAAGTAATCCTTTAAGAAAATTGAAGGTAATGCAATACCATTTCTTACAAACTAGTCTTTATTTTGGATTAAAAAAATATTTACATATTAATAGTTTTCGGCACTGAAAGATATTTAGAAAATGTTAAATACTCCATCACGCCAAATACATCTTCCATTTTTGTACACTACAAATTCGTAATGTTTGTAAAAATCCATCAATCACCATTTACTATATACATCCCTACTGGGGGCTCGGAGCCTATCCTGAGTTAGGGTGACATCAAAAAATACTAATTATAAATCTACATGTTAACACGATATTTCACTTTAAGATACAAGTTTCGAAGACTAGGAGCGGAATGAGACAGAAACTAGACCAATCGTACAAGGATCGATACCAACATCGAAAAAACTGTCGCAGACCATCCCTTCAACGACCACAATCGAACAGCATTGTTTGCAGGTATTTGTAGATGCCGATAAGTGATCTACAAACATTTTTAATCCTTGAAACACAGAAAGTTCGGTCTAGCTATCGCAAATACCTTAAAAAGTGTTTAGGGTACTTTGGCACACCCTATGCGATAAGCCTCTAGACAAAGTTCAATTATTTAAGTAACTAGATTACTAATGTTAAATCAACGATAAAAGTATGAAAAGACTGCCAATGCTTTACATTGGAGTGGCAACGATTACAAAAAAAATAACTCTTTTGTCTTATCGCATTTCAAAAATGCTACTAAATATTAATCATACATATATCACCGCTGCCTTTAACACTCCTATAAGGTAACACTATTCTGTGCACCATTAAACATTACCACAAACTACTTTAAATTATTACATACTTAATTTATATAGAACGTGTTTTAAAATGGCTACTGCTACATGTTCTCATGCCAAAAATATTTATGTACAAAGATTTTTGTCAATTTGCTTAAACATGCAAATGTAATTTCTATTTTATATACATCAATTGAGAAAATATTTTTATTCTATAACCATTATATGATTTTGTCATATTTTAGGTAACGTAACATTAAAAATCTTAGGTTAATTTCGAAATCTTCTCACAATGTAGATAGATATTACAGATAATAAAATTGTAAGTTTTGGATATGTTTACATTATATTACAAAAATTATAATTTTGGTTTGGTAAGTGTAACTTCTCAAACAGAGTTTAAAATTTACATATTAATATGTACATTAAAGTGTAGAAACACATCTGTTATAGATGTATTAGAAAATATTAAGGGCAAGATTAATACATCAACAGTTATTACATTAAAAAGTCCACGAATAAAACTAACGTCAAGTCACGTACATCATTTAAAAAATTAAAAATACACATATTTGAAAAAAAAACACTGACTACGATAAACTTTTACAAGCATTAGAATTATAAAATACTTAACCAACATTTTATATTAATTAAAACGATAGAAACTTGTGGACAAGACTGCATCCACTGTATAAAATAAATGACAATGTTAAAAACATGCACTGTTCGGATCGTTGTAAGAATTTAAAAATGTAATACTTACAGTACAAACGTTGAAGACAAGCAAATCGATAACGTTAACAGAAATCAATACTGAATCGCAACGATGCACTGAATGTCATTTAAATCGAATTAACGCTGTTTTTTGCAATCATTGTTTGCATTTGCGTTAGTATCACTTTTTAACGTGACTGGGGTTCGCCGTGGGGCGTACTGTATGATTCATCTGGCGCTTGCGTTCGATTCGGCCTCCGGCAGGTCATGGTACTCATGGAAGCAGGGTACAATGCAGAGGTTGGTGCGGCATTCGGGGCAATGGTACTGTGTCTTGCGGCGCAGGATTCTGCCGCACTCGTCGACGGTGTTCCAGCAGAAGTTGCAGCTGAGAGGGGGGCCATCACGCACCGCAGGTGTGTGGCTCGCGCGCTGCGTCTGAACGCCGCCCTCACCCATTTGCATATCGAACGACGTTGCAGTCGAAGTTGCGGTTGATGACTGACGATCAACTAAACGTATCAGCAGCGAACCAACCTCACGTTCCTGTGGCTTCAAACGCCGGCTCTAGTAAATAGATAAAAATATAAATACACAACGGAAATAAGATAAAAAGTACTAAATGTTTGCCAGGCATTTTACACTACATGTGGTTACAATAAAGGCTTGCCATCGACATATTATAATATCCCCTAAAATAATTTCTGTTAAGTAAATATGTGTATCAACGTATAAGTATGTCACAGAGATGTGTGAATTGTTATTTATTTATTAAAAAATGTAGACATTTAATAATTACTGTTGTAATGATTAAATATCTAAATTTTTTTGTGAATGGTTAGTTGATGAAGTACCCACCTTGTTAGAGGTGTATTGAGGGTAGGACTCATGTTTCTGCAACACCGGCAGGGCCGCGAGAGGCGCAGGTTCAGACATTTGCTTCCTCATTTCACGTTCGTCGGGGACTCGGCTTTGACGCTTTGAGAACTTCGAGCGACGCAAGCGTAGACTCGATTCAGAAGAAAACGCATCTGAGAAATTATTGATCTTATAATAAACTAGCTAAACCCGACAAACATTGATACACTACAGATTAAACCTTCATTAATTACAAAACAATTCAGAAGATGTAAGCAAAGTTAAAAGTTATATCAAAATGTGGACAGTGGATTAGTGAGGCATGGGGACAAACATCATTCATAAAATTTAGATACAAAAAAAGTGATAATTGCACCGAAAACGCCTTATCTCATTTGAGTATAATTAGTCGATTTTCTGTTACTCTTTACTGAATTAAATTGTGTAGACCCTAAAGATCTACCTATCAGAAAATAACGTGCAAAATTAAGTAAAAACATCGTAGCTATTATTGGAAACTACTGGATTTAAAAAGAAAATAAAAAAGCGGTAATTTTAAAAAACATTGTATTTTAATAGTCATTAGAAAAATTGCATCTGTGAGAATTAAAAAAAATGAAATTTTTACATTCTTCGTTATTATTCAGTAAACGTTTAGTATCAATATAATTATACAGTACATTACAAGTAACTTGTTCTTCTACATTTATACATACACCTATATACATATTGAAATCACCTTATTCAATAACCGCTATGATGTTTAGTTATCGTTACATACAATGTCCATTACGATGTATACAGATATAACCCTAATTAACATAAGTCTACATCAGCTAAACTACCTAAGATATTAATTTCACACTAACCTCTAAAAGTTGCCATTCGGCTACCAAAAAATGATATATAATACTGTCAGTACAATCACTCTATCATACTAAAAATAACTGGTAAAACATTTATATAAGTACAAAAGAGGCATTTCAAATTGTAGAAAATAAATAAATGTTATATTTAAGAGTGCGTTCTCATTAGAAGTTTGTGTTGTAAACATTGTAAAATCAGTCAAAAATAAAAGAGATCTTTGCATAAGTAATATTATAAAGTCGATGTATCAACTAAGAAAATAATACTAATTGTAAAAACAATCATACGTGACTATTATTAATTACATTTTAGACGTTACGATTTGCATTTTTATCACCTGTTACTGCGTATGTTATTGCTACAGTACAATAACTCTAATGTACAAACTATCATGATATATATTGGGCATTCAGTTCTACCCTGTCAAGCAAACTATTTTTAACTATTGCTTTTGGTAATTACCTTAATTGAAACTTGTACATCTAACAGTCAATTTAAAAGTAAACACTGAGATTTTTTTTAATAAAAAAATAAACGTTTACAAAAAATGAAGAAAATTAACACGATATACTAATAAGATGTACTTTATTATTACAATATAGTAAGAATCCATGGTTTTAGATGCTTTCGTCTTCATTTTACGGAAAAGCATAGTATGCTTGAGTAAATTTCATAAACTACAATTTGGTATGTGTTAAAAAAATGATAAATTTGGACTGAAGTAAATTTGCTTTATAACCCTCATTAATAACCTTCATTTACTACATTATTTCGCATTATGTCAATTGTATGTATTTCGATATCATATTGTGAGTAAAAATAATTATTAATTTCGTCATTATAGAAAATTAATTTATAGCTTGTCAATTTAAATTATTGCGATATGTACAATATTAATGTTAAAAATGTATATACGATTACATAGGTAAAGTCTGTCCAAATAATGCAATAGCCTAACCTATAAAAGTACAGTAAAGTTATCTTAAAAGCCTAAAATGTAAATGCAAGTGCCGGTAATCATAACAAAAGGAAGGAATTGTAAAATATTGGTAAAAAGCGGAATCCATTATTTGCATAATTATATTCATTGGAAGATTTTGTTGAAAATCGTATGTTTTCTTATTATATAGTATTATAAAATACGTAAATAATAATTTCCGTTTGCAAAATAAATTATGATTGAATTTCATTGCTATTTTTGTTGCACTACATACAATGTATGTAGAAGAAAGCAATCAATATCGACTACACTATTTTAAAACAAATAGTTTTAATGATTCTAACAAAACATAGACAAACCTGTAAGTTTCTTACTTCTACATTCATTGTATGATAATGTATAAAGGATGTTATAGTTAACATAGGTAAAAACAATGTTAGCCATGATTTCATAAAAATAATCGAAATGTGATCTCATTTTTGTGTATAAAAATAATTGTTCATAGAAATCACTGAATTGTTCATCATATTAGTCATCTAAATGCTATTACAATGATTATATATTCGAGGGCAATAATAAATGCAATAAAAGGACATCACAAATACTTATAAAATTAAAAGTAAAAAAACTTACCATACTAAAGAAAAAAAGAGGTAAGGCTATTTTTGTAAATGTTCCATATTTTAAGTGACTTACTTATGGAGGTAGTTTAAAATCAAAACATCCTTACCTACCAGTCATGCATTCAATATAAAATGTAATGAAAAGATATCCTGTGATTGAGAACAGTTCTACATGACATTATGTACAAAAAAATCATCACTGTTACAACCTAGAAGGATTTAGTATAAAAAAGCTGAATTTTACATTTTTCGTCAATTATCATAACTTAAATAGCTACTGAGATCTAAACATAAATTACTGATTATGGCAAATATACGCCCGTCTCGTGGACATTATAAGGTCCAGTATCACATTCATTTTAATATAATTAACTTTAAGGGTTATATGTTAAATGTATATAGTAATACTGGACGCTGAGGGTAACATTATTTACAGAGGCATGTGCATGTAGAGATCGTAGCAGGGTTGGGGCGCGAGGGGCGCTAGGGGTGCGAGAGGCGCGAGGGGTGCGGGCGGCGCGGGGGGTGCGGGGGGCGCAGTGCCCACCTCCGCACCCTGCCACTCGTGTCACAAGGAGAATGATTCATCACCCCCCGGCCCGCAAGCCGCGTTCTATTGAATCGAATTAAAGTTCATCCCGAGAATGTTCAAGGGAGAATGGTGGGTAACACCCTGCAGGGGGAAGTCCAAAGGTCGGGAGTCAATGAAACCCACTGGTACGGAATGCGGCGGGCATATTAAAGCCATCTGTTGATCCTGTTGCTGAACTTCTTCCTTTGGTTCTGGCGGCGGAGTGGTGTGCTCGCGTTTTATCCTGTTCTTAATACTAGGCCGGTTGTTGGGATATCCCTTCTTCTTGTACTCGAGCCATAGTGTCCTATTGTTCACTCCGAACATTCGTGCCGCTTTACAGAAACCAATGCCGCCGAAACGGACAGCTTCTAGTGCCCTCTGGAAGTTCTCTTCGGACTGTGGGTTTGTTGTGCGACGTCGTTTGGGCTGAGTTTGTGGCACCACTTCTTGTGCGGTTTGTGCTTCTGGGAAACAGCTTGGTCCCGGTGAGGGTCCGGTCACTCCGAGCCCTTGGCCGTAGTCGTTCATATCAGGGTCATTCATATGCGGGTTGATGACATTGTTCATGTATATGCTGTGGTCAGGTTGCAGACCGCCGCCGCCGCCGCCGACGCACGCGTTCGAGTATCGAGGGTATGTGTGCTCCATCATACTCCATTGGCCTCCTGGGAAGAGAGATAAATGATTTTGTAAAACATTACTACGATTTTATTATAAAGTTAAATATATAAACAAGTAATTCATTTCAATATACATTTCATTGATCTCCCTTCCCTGAAAATAAAGATTTGCCCAAACATTGATAAATTAATTTACTACAAAAATATAATTTTGTTAAGATAATTCAAAATTAATTGAGATTTAGAGGCAGAAGTTGAAAAACTCGTTATTTAAATGTTTAATTTGTATGGTGTTATTTATTTACTAAGAAATGCTAAATCAAATGTCTTAAATAAAAAAAAATTAACATTGATAATAAACTAAATAAAACTTTACTTAAAACATAAAGGAAACTGGGAATTGATAGGAGTATAATTCAAAAACGCATTTTAAATTTAACTTTATTAAAATACTTTCAGTTATAATAATGCCACCATAGTTGAAATTGTGTTGAATTGTTTTTCTTTTTTCTTTGTATAATTGCATGTCAGTTATTTCATTATCTCCACATACTCTATGAAACATTGATTTCTTGCTGTAAATGGTCTAAGGTCCACTTGGATTTCTAGTTTTAGAAATAGCTTTTAAAATCGCTTCATAACTTCATGACATCACCTGGAACAAAGAAATAAAGAATGATAAAGAACAATCATCAAACTGCAGCACTATTATAGTTACATTCATTATAGGTGTAATTTATTATTTAACAACAAAAATAAGATACTTACCTCTCTCACTTAATTATTTGTATCAACCAAACATTGATACAAACATGGAAAGTTTTATTAACTAAATATTTCATTTCCAATATTCAATTGTTATCAGCTACTAAGTTCACAATGAGGAACTTAAAGCCTACCGTAAATTAGGGTTGAAGACCTTAATCAACCACTCCGAAACCTGCATGTTGACTTCAATTATTTTGAATTTCTTCACAGATATGTGGAGCTTGCATAACTATGTTGCCTTTCACTGTTAGAATATGTACATATGAAAATCTAAAATACCTTAGTATGTAAGGTTCAAACCCAAGAGCCATTACAAAACAAGTGATGAACCCTCAAACCCCAGACCTTCTATGAAGCTGTTTGAATCAAAACTGATTATACTGCTTATTTAAATTGACAAGCGGTACTTTAAAACATTGCTATTGTTACCCACAGATAAATTACCTTTGTAATGGTGAAAGAAATTTCAAAATCGGCCCAGTATTTTTTACGTTATTTAAATACATACAATAATTGATAAAGACAAATCTTTCCACTTGTATATTAGTATAGCTAATATTAGTATAGCTAGAGATAAGAAAATAAACTTTTCAATCCACCTCTTTTGTAAATATTTATATAAAAAGAGTGCAATATAAATGCTTACCTTCAAAAGCTTCTTAAAATGTATGGTCAATAAATCACAGATTGAAAATTATCACATATTTAATATAATCAGAAATTTTTAGGTTATATCTCACGGTACTTTTAAAGTAAGTTCAATTTGCTGTTATAATTAAATTTCAAGGTTATTTATTGTTGGAATTTCTTTGTAATATAATTTTTAATTCTTATTTAAAACAATATGAAATGGACAAACCTTGTGGAATAATAGCTGAATTGTTATCCAACGACAACTGGTCCACATGCAGGCTGTGTTGATCAGTCGGCTGCAAAAGTTATTTACAATATTTAAGGACAAGAATATATCACACCCAAGTCTCAATGAGGTAAGCAGAGATCATTATCTTTCTTTCGTTGCAGTCCTTGCATCCTTCACCTCTTACACATTCATACATCTGGTTTCTGATAACCAATGAGAATGCACATGTGTTTTAAAGAGAAAGAACTATGACCAGCCCAGGAGATTTTTATTTATTTACATATCTGAGCTAGTGACGATGTTTAGACTGATATAAAATAATTCTACAACTAAAATAAAAAAAAAAAACTTTAGTTTGACACTAAATAAAGGTGGTTAATTTAATTTATAACAATAATACTTAGTTTAAAAATATACTTTAGATTTCATTGAGTAAAGTATTAATTATAATAGTTTTTATCAAAATAAAATCACAAACCTGTTGTACATTCTCCATTTGCTCATCTTGGAAATCCCTCATGCGTCTTTGTTGCGGCACACTGCTCAAGGTGATTGAATCTCCTCGCACTAAATCAACAGACTGTCCCGGTTCATCATTTCTATTTTCTTCCGGTACCATGTTCAAAGATGTTGAACCAGTTGAACTCTTTCGTCGTCTGTGAACAATAATATTTATTGTAAATAATGAAACATTGTCCCTTCCTTTTACTTAACCTTGATGAATTTATTGGTATACTATCATGTATTACTTGTGATATGTTTATTTTTTACAGAATAACTAATATGAAGACAAATGGCAGCTATTCTGCATCAAACAATAAAGAAATGGCGTAAATCGTATCATAAATCGTTATTGATGTACATACACAAAAAAATTGATATTGAGAACCTCCTCCTTTTTGAAGTTGGTTAAAACTTACATCCATGTAATAAATTCATGTCATTTTCAGTTAAATTAAGAAGTATACATTAAAACAGTATGACTTCATGGCAATGGTAGTTTTTATTTATTGTTATTTACTATTCATAATATATATTTTAAAAAGTTACTACTCAGTATAATTTGCACTACTGCAAAATGTGTTTGTAAAATGGTTAACATACCACTCTTATTACAATAATACTTGATAGCCATTTCAATAATAAATGTACTTCATAATTCCTCTATACTTAATAGTAACACATTTTCATTATTCCCTATATCTTTTAAGAGAAATAAGAGTTGACACTCCGGAAACATATTCTTATATATTGGCAATGCAATTGGAAACAAAAAATTATACACAGCATATTGTCTGGACTGAAGATATTTAAATCTTTATAACTCCATTCCTGTATAAATTCTGACATTAACATATTGGGTCAACTGAAAGACGAACAGAGGTTGATAAGAGGACATATACTGACATTTTAAAGTACAGAATAAAAATGATCTTCCACAGTTTTTATATGCAATACAGATACTGTACAGTAACCATATTTGCCATTATTCTATAAGGCATTATATTCCATGTTAAATTAATGCTTCAATCATGTAAATACACAAACAAAGTAAATCATATATCATTTCATATGATACCATATCATTAACTAAAAACAAATGAGATAAAACCATAAAGATATATGAATTAACTAACTAATAAACTAACCTTCTACGTTTGTTTGAAGGCGAGGCAGCCGGTGAAGATGAGTGTCTTTGGGAGTCTATTGAGTCACCTGGGGACTGGAAGTCTGCAGAAGTCCCCTGGGAACGCGTCAGAGAGGTGGATTCTGGCATTTCTGTGAGCCCTTTGATTTTCAAGAGCTTTGCTGTATCAAGTACCTGTCAAGAGAAACCAAAGCGTTGTATTCTTATTAGATCTGTTAATAATAGAAAAACAACTTTACAATATATAATTTACTATTATTTAATCTAACAATAGCTTACTTGTGGTAGTTGTTCTTCGGTTACATTTACTTCACCATAGTACATAAAGTCTACCATGGTACGAAGGTCAGAATATGAGACATCTTTAAGAATCACAATTGGATGCCTTGAAGGATTGTCAACTAAAACAGCCTGAAAAGACAATACATGATACAATTAAATGAAACATGTAAACAGTGTGTCATACTTGATAAGAGTTAACTTATGTTTATATAACATTTACAACTGACAAAGAAGATTAAGTAGGCTATTTACCTGAAAATAAGTACTGCAAGCAGACAACACCACTTTATGTGCTTTTAAATGCTTGCCCTCTGCAGCCAATGTCACATCTACGAGGGTTTGTGTATTCAACAATGTAGTAAACATTGATATGAAGTTAGGTTGATGGTTATTCCAACGCAAGCTGTACTGTTGCGACATTCTAACTATCTGAAACAATACAATAAGAATAAAACTTTTACTTGAGCATGGATTAAGTTAAAATAATTTATTAGATGAAAGTTAAATTTCAGAAGAAAAGGATAGGAAAGGTGATTTTGACAATAAATGACAATGTTTAAATGGATCTGTATTTAATTTGTATGTAGTCATCATATGATACTAACCTTTTATATTATTTGTTGCTTTTATGAATCAGGCACCTTACTGAAAAAAAAATGGGGTAACTGTTAATACTAACATCAATTCATAAAAACATAGCAGTGATACATTATAAATATAGTTCGCTCATGCACAAAATGCCTTTTTGAAATATTCACAATAGCATGTGCGCGCACGCAACAATTAATATAATAACCTGAATTTCTTCAACAGTTGCAATATTCAAAATTTTACATAATGTGCATGCTCATTACATTGTTTTTCAACCAATGGTAGACCCAATTTAATATATTTTTTATATATCCAGAGTTTTACTTTTGTAATTATAGACATAGTAGCTTTCGCCCGCGAGTCCCTCTGCATGGATTTAAAAATACTAAGTAGCCTATGTGTTTTTCCAGACTTGACTTTTCATCAATGCCATTCAGCTGTTTAGGCTACAAATTCTAACAAACATCCATCCATCCATCTAAACTTTCGCATATTAGTAAGATTAGATGCTGTTAATTTTGATTTCAACATTTCATATTGTAATGCCACATCAAACCGTAGAACTGCTTCAACCATAAATCTTAATTTAAAATACAAATAAATAGTAAGGCTATATGTTTTTGTCTTTTAAGTATTTAAGCAATTCATAAACATTTGGTAATTTCGTGATAGAAAAATTCGCATATTTGCATATAACTTGTCAAAAACTTGAATAAGTTTATTTGTTATGGTAACATGTAGAGCAAATGGCAAATAAAGAAATCGAATATCTGAAAATCTTCTAAAATTATTTTTAAACTAAGAAAATGTAAATAATTTCAATACGAAAATGTGCTATAACCATTAGGGAAATAAATGTTTCACTCAAACATTATTCAACTTTGTGTTTATTGTTTACAAAGATAGCAAATAAAATTCGCAATAGAATGCAATCAGCATTTTATATAATTACTCATTAATGAATGTCATATGAAGATGGTAGACTTTGTTATACAACTATGTATCAACAAATGACTTATAATAATAACAAATATTTAAACATTTTCACACAGCTAACCATTTAATTAAGAATATTAGACATTACAAACTTATTTACCTTAGCACTAAATCTTCAACACAGAACACAAGCTACCACGATCAATCTACGCAAGGAACGACCAATGCGCAACAAAAAAAATAAATTGAAAAACACTTCTTACACTGGATGAAAATGTGAATATTTTTAAAGGATCACATCAGTTATAGAATTCATATTCAATTTTATGTACATACTCAAATACGAAAAAAAAAAGAGTCCAATCCTTGAATAGTGATGAGGCCACCCGTAAAAATGACATCAATCAATAACAATGCAAAGTCGAAACATGTCACTTATTGCAATTATACTTAAAACTTACCCATGCTCTATTTTTTATAACTTATAGCCTTTTTATTACACTTTCAGCAAGAATTTTAAGTAAATAATTATCACTTCAACCCACGCTAACAATCTAACAATACCAGCAAAACCCACGCCGATCAGTGTTGCCACTTAAAATAAGTAAAATAAGTTCTACCATTCATTATTTCCGTATTCATAAACTACTAATCTACAAAAAATCTCTGGGATTAAGAATTTATACACTAAAAGCCTGTTTATTTTTCTCTTTCTACCTGAAAGTCGGAAATTAATCATATAAACCTATGGTGAATTTGACAGAGTCCAACGGTTATTATTTTACCACTTGTGTCTCTTGTATAGAAATACATTTATCGCCATAGCCCTTCACAGTTGTGGCCATAAGCCGAAGTAAACTTTCGGTCCACCCTAAATTCTTGTACATTGTTTCCTGTTTGTATAATGAAAAAATAACTTATTTTATGAGATATCCGAAATAAAATTAACTAAATGAATCTTAAATAGATTGTTTGCTGGACTTTAACTATTTTATTACTTTAAAATGGTAGTAGTACTTTGTAGACTATAAAGTATATAAAACGCATTTTTTAGTATAATAGTCTTATAGTTATTAATCCTATGAACATAATAAAAAAATGAGAAAAACGTCAAACAGAAAACATACTTTTCTACGTGATCTCACTTTGTCTTTATTAATTTAGTTTTAAAAAAAAGCGTAGTTAGACAAGGACGCCGAATAGTTGATATTTATATACCTGTAATAGACCTGTAAAATTAATAACCCTTAAAATGCTAATAGTACATTGTTTATAATAAATTATAGTAACTCAAATGATTTTGATTACTTTCTGATTTCATAGAAATTAATTTCGTTATGAACTAGCCCGCGATTTTGTCCGCGTGAAATTAAATATAAAAAATAGCATATGTTTCTAACGGATAAAATACCTTTCAAATGCAGAAGGTTTTTTTTTAAACTATCCAGTAGTTTTTACGTGAATCAAATATTAGTTGCAGATGTCCATGGGCGTACGATCAAGTAGAATAACGCGATCCGCTGCGCGTTTACCCCTTCTACTATAAAATACACACAAAAATACAAATCTTTTCTCTTAATGATATAAGTATAGAAAAATGCAAGACAAATAACAAATAAAAAATATTTAACATCCATTGTAGTCATTAAAAGGGGGGCCGTAACTGTACCAGAGGTGGACCATAACTGTTTTGAGTGGACTGAAACTCTGTTTATAGGGGTTAATTAACTATAATTTTTTATGTTTTTTTAAGTACACAATATAACAATTCATATGCAAATAAAATATCTAAATTTATTATAATCATATTTTCATTTATCTTAATTCCCAAAAAAGATTATTAATTGTGACAAAGAGTATTGTGACTCAATCCGAAAAGTGGACTGTAACTATCTGATCTGATCTCCCTGTTAAAATATCGATCTTTAACTAGCTATAACGCCCATTGCGAAAAGATATTCGAGACCTTCGGTGAAATATATTATTCCTGTAAGTAAAAGTCCAATTATTTTTTTGAACATGTTTTGAACTAATTATCGTTTTATATACCAAAGATTTATATGAAATAGCACATAAAATTACTTGTTTATCTATATGCAGCCTAATTCATGTATTTAAAATATTTCCTGAAATTAATTTCTTGTCATTATCAGTCGTAGAACGGAATGTAAATAAGAATACGACATTTGTGTTTTTTCTGTCCTTGTAAATAAAACCGTAATATTTATAAATTTTGCGAAGATCAAAGTCTAAAATAAAGAAAATCATCTTTGGCAGGTAAGGTTTTTTATATGTCTGGTTTGTATATAACAAAAAGCTGAGCATTTAGGTGTTAATAATTAAGAAATTTGTATGTTGTGACACATAGAAGAGATATGTAATTACGATAAAGTAGTAATTAATTTTGGTTTAAAAAAAATGTAATGAGTTTTATTTGTTAGTTTATCAATAATGCAGTACTACCATTCCCCAGAAAAGCGCGTTGTATACTTATAGATATGACCTTCAAGACTTGGAAGGTCAAAACAATGTTTATATAATTTGAGTAGTATTCTTTTGTTTTATCAGTGGCCGTTTGCAAGATCAGCGTCGTTATTCGTCCATTGTCCTTGTTTACTTGCTGGCTTCTATAGTCATAACATGCGGTGGTGTTAACACGTTATCACGTATTTCTTGTCCTCTTGCTATTTTTAGAGTTTAGATTGTAATAAAGTGTCTTCATTAAAGGTATTTACTGGCAGGATATACATAGCTTAATAATATTTTTGACCTACAGTATAGCGGAAAAGAGGTAAATTTTTATTTATTTTATGTTTGTAACATTAGATATTTGACAAAATAATATGACTGCAATCTGCTAGATTTTCAAAAATTTGCATCGTTATATTTTTAACAATTACGATAGTGAACTATGGTTAACTTACTGAGATTAACGCTCGGCCATTTACTTTATAGGGTATTCCACTCTTTTGTTTGGTACTTTGTATGTACCATCATGATAAGTTGCCATGCTAAATTGTACATTAGTGTAATTGTAATTTCTAGATACACAATTTATTACAGTTATGAGGTTTGTGAAATTTTAGTCCATAATGGTAATATCCTTTGTCTTAAAGATTGTAATTTTGGGGGATGTAAGTCAAAATTATTTTTTGGTAAATAACAAATAAATAGGTGGCACAGTAGGATGTATTGAGAAGATAGAAATTTCTTAATCAATATTTATGAAATAATGAAATTTTGAATACTTTAAAAATATTGTTACCTTCAATCATTTGTATAATTAAAAAATCCAACTCTTCCACTAGTAAAAATGATTTCTGATTATTTTTATTTGCATCAAAACATTTTGATGTAGGTTTTCACATGTTTTATGTAATACAAATATACTATTATTATTTTGCCTACCGTGTAGAACCCACAAGTGCAAAATAAAAAGAAAAAATTGTGTTCTTGTATGGTAAAAGTGCAAGTAATCTATTCTATTTTGCTTTACACATTAGTTCATTATCTTAATGGCCTTGTATAATTTCAGTTGATAACTGATATGCATGATAAACATAATTTTCATTAGATATTGTATTTTAAGAATATTACTATCTCTTTAACTAATGTCAGTCCACAAATATGTAATGATTTTATTGAAAATGCTATGAAATTGAAATAGATATAAAGATCTTGTGAGGAACTTGCAATTTAAAAGGAACAAAGGACAAAGGAAGGAAAATTCACTGATGAAACATAGAAATATAACTTTGTCTTGGTTGTAATCTATGAGCTGTTATTTATTCCTTTCTCAGTCATACTGTAGTCATGTAACATTTACCACTCTTAACTAGACTAACTCCAAGATGTTATGAGTGCGCACTAACTATCTGAGACTAAACTATCGCAATACTGTTTAGTCGCGGTTTGATTCCTATCAGCCTATATACATGATTGGTTAGACTACGCAATTTTAAGTTGTGTAATTAAACAGTTGTATTGGCTGCGAAAAAATCAACAATTGCACAACAGTTGTGCGATAGTTTAGTCAAAGGTGAGCGCCCGCACTTAAACACTGGCAGATAGCGACTGTATAGAGTATTAAGTTAGTTAGTTAAGTTTATAAAAAGGATTTATGTTGTTACAGTCTCGAGTGTAGCAACCATGAGTAAGCTGTGCAAACAAGTTTCGATAGAGTCGCCTGGACCCACACAAAAGGATTGTGTGTTCAGCTTCGATGTCCCGGTACCAGATGTACCGAAGAATGGAGCCAGGATCAGAGTGGCCTATGCCGGCGCATGCTATCGCGTCAGCCGCAACCGCTCTGCATCCGTGTGTAGTACATCCTCTGTTTCATCCGTTAGCAGCCTCACTGGTGAAATGGAAAGTTTAGGTATTCATTCCTCGACGCCCGCGAACGTAGGCTTTCGAGATGGGGCGCTATTTCCAGGCTATGAAGTAGCGGGTGTGGTGGACGAAGTTGGAGAAGGTGTTGACCCTAAAACTTACATCGCTCGAGGAACACGCATAGTGTTATATCCGTACGAAGGTGTGCCACACGGATATGCCGAATACATCGTTGTGCCTGACACCAAATGCCTTGTGCTGGTTCCGAGCGATCTCCCTTTGAGTGTGGCCGCCATGCTACCGACGGGTGCATTGCTTGCATGTAACACGGTGCAAACTGTAATGGATTCCTTGAAATCTGTGCTTGATGGCCCAGTAAAAAAAGATATGGGTACGCTATTGATAGTTGGCACTGGAGGATTGGCTTTATGGGCTTTGCGCTTAGCTCGCCATTATATCAATTTGAGCAGATATCATAAACGGATTCGTCTTTCCGTGGCGACTATCAAAGATGGTGGTTATACCATAGCTAGAGAAAGTGACCAGTGAGTATATCTTAAAGATTTTTATTATTTTACGATTTTTTTAGTACGCAATGTTTTTGTACCATATTATTTAATAATAACTGTCGCGTATATTTATAACATGAAACAAATATTGATATCGTCCACACTTGCCATTCAATCGTGTTTTTTATAGATATAGCTTGATTGCGATTGTCGCTGCGAACTACTCGAGTGAAGTCCTATTTATGTGTTGAAAATATAATAGATATTTAAAAAAATGATAATATAGTTGTGTACCTACATTATTTTGCGTCTAAAGTTTTTTATATTGGCAACTTGAGATGAGTTCGGTAATTCAACCGAAGATATATTTCTGTCTTATTTGGGGATAACTAAAGATTTGTTTTTTTTGTTTTAATGTAAAGAATCAAGGTTGTGCAGTGGAGCGAAGATCTGTACGAACGTCAGCTGATCGAGCGCACTCTTGACGCGTGCGGCGGTCCTGTCGACATCGTGCTTAACTTCGGTACCACTTCGAGGTCCCTGCACCGCTCGCTGCAATGCCTCGCTCCTGTATGTGGTTTTAAGATTTACATGAAAAAAAAACCTTCCTTAAAATACCCGCATGTTTTTGCTAATTGGTGTCTGGTGAGCTTATTGCTGGTGGATGATAAATTGCAATGGATGACCAGTCCTAAAGTTATATAATATATATAATCTTTATGTTATTTATATTTCCCGAACTCTGCACCTTGATCATTTTAATTAACACTAACTGTTGATACCTAGGGAGGAATGGTGCTCGTGACTGAGGAGGTCGGCGAAAAATTGATGCCGAAATTCGCGAAGAAAGCCGAAGAGATGAACGTCCGCATTGTCGTGGTGCCAAATGGATCCATTAGTCAACTGAGGGAATTAGTATTTATGGTCGCTCGTGGCGATGTAAGTATTCTATTTATTTACTTATATCAAATTTTCGTAGATAGGTAAGATACGCTTGTCAATGAGCTCTTAATTATGATAGGTTTCCAAACTAAATAGTTTGCTGTCTTTCATAATTATTACATTTTTTTAAAATAAGTTTACTTTGTGCTCGAACTTTTCATCAGCGCTCTAATGTTCTAGAACTCCGACGTTATTTCTCTACAGGACCAAGAATATAGGTTTCTGTATTTAAATTATTCAGAGACGTATTTTAAATAGGTCTTATATCATTATTTGTTAAGTAAAAAAGAGCTAACAATTTTTATCAGCGTATCATTTGAAGAAGAGTGTGTAGATTTATTAATGTATTATAAATGATATTTCTAAAACTTCGGTAGAAAATCAGTGATTTAACCCAACAAAATTCAATCAAGTATCATGAATGCCTTATTTAATTGGAATATATTCATATATTACCTGAGACAAGCAATAGTGAAAAGGCAATTTCGCAACCCTTAATACGAGGATTTTTAAAGCAGCGAACAAACATCTATCGTTGTGAGGCTGGCAGTTTAGGAAACTTTATTATAACTCTTTGGCAGTTAAGGAATTTGGCGTTCGGATTACTTTGTTTTTTTTTTTATCCATACATGTGTTCATTGGTTGTTAAGTAAATATAAAAAATATTACATGCAGTACAGATAGTATCTGGCTATTGAAAATTAGGTATATTGAGTGAAGAGGCATGATTGAAGAATAAATTGGACAATCGGTGTCGTCGAGGCTACAATTGATATTGCGGCCGCAATGATTTTGCATCGCTGATGGCGCATTGCTTTGCACTGCGAGACAGATTGTAATTTTTATTGGATGGGTCAACATCGATCATTCACCTCGATGTTGCGTTTTCGCCTTATTGTAGGACAGAGAAGGAAAATTGAAGAGGCAATGAAATTAATAGAACCAGATGAGGCTTAAGACACGTAACTACTGATGTGAGATTGTCGTTATATGGTTCTATTTAATATTGCTATGGTATCGAGTAAATCTCCATTAAACAAAAAATTAATTCTAATCATGGTCATATTTATTTCTTCTACAGTTCTATCTTTAAGAGCCCCTGCAAACTACAGACTTTATCGACTGATAGTTTAGTCTGTGGACCTCTTAAATGTAGTAGTATTTGTTAGGACGTTCAATACCACCGTCTTGACTTCACTTTCATAAAGTAGAATTGAAGGTATTACAGAAGCATGGGATTGTTTGTAGATCGAGCCGCCGCCGCACTCGGTGTTCCCAGCGGAGGAAGCTCAAGAAGTTGTTAGAAAACTATGCAACTCTGAAATCAAGGGACGCGCCATCTTGAAATTCTACGATGTGGAATAAACGATGACTAGTCTTTTCAAGTATTATTTAGTGGTGAAAACCAAATGTTTACTTTAAGCAGTATACTCAGCGCTTACAAGTTTAATCATATACTCATATATTGCTTCATTCATATAATCTCACAATTAGTATGTAGCATGTATAACATATTACATCTTCATATGTTATAAGTATCCTTTTCTCTTATCAATATGTCACGGAATTTAAGATTAATCTTACTGTGGCATGTACTTTATCATTTCGCCTATACGATCTGTGTTTACATACATATACGATATAATGATCGTGCGTAATATTTCATTATTGATATCTCATGTACGGACGTATAGGTAAATAACGAAGTTATTAATTTTCGTAAACACTATTGTTCGTCAACTATTCTTACGTTATTTCTACATGTATCCCATTTCATAATGATAGATTTTACTAAACAAGGTAATTAAAAATTTCTAAAAGATAAATTGATGAAAATTTCATACAATAACTTGCAATGATTGCACGAAAAATAAACTCTAATTAAGGCGATATCCAGATAATTTTAGATGTTTTTTCCTTAAATGATGACATATTCAAAGCTCAAAGTATCGTATTAGTAATTATTTTCCAAAAATAATTCAAAAACCTACAGTGTAATCATTTTGTATTAACTTGATAAATTTAACTATAAACTATAAGTATATTTTTAGATTTTACTCTTACTCCTATAAAACTTTGATACAATTTTCTTTTAGGCTACCTTTTTATTAGTGTTAGTTTCTCGAATAATAAAATCAACATTTGTATGGAAAAATATGTTATTCTTAAGTAATCACAATTCGTATGACATTTAGTATATTGTTCTTTAATATGAACAGTTTTTGAAGATGTTTCTTACACCATATACGTAACTTCTGTATAATTTGTAATATGGATATTAATTTTAATAATTTTATAAAATTGTCTACAGAACTCTCATAAAAACCCAATAATTTTGTATTTCCGGAATTATTTTGAATTCCATTTAAGTTTGTAATCTTTTATTAAATATCGAACACGCACAATAGTTATAGCTTTAAGTTGTGTTGCGACTCTTTTTTTGTTCAGTAAACATTTTTCATCTTTAATACCACGTAATAACCATTTAGCGTAAGTTTGAATTTCATCAGTAGATTTAAATAGTGTAACCTTATACGTATTAAAAATTAAAAACAAACTGTATTATTTTATCTAGTCAACTTTGTGTTTAACAAGTAAAACATATTTTTTTTTCGTGGCGTAATTAGTTCTGCTGACTTTAAAAATTGTCAAATTTAACCTGTTTATGGCTTCAACGTTGAAACCTTTTGAAAAAATATTTGCCTGATAACTATAACCTCAAAATGTATAAGAGATGTTTCCCACAGTTGGCAGATCTAATTATGTAGATTAGTGTTAATTTTGTCACAACCATTATGTTTAAGCTGTTTCAACTCTGACGTAATTGAGGTTTTGTATAATTTCATTTAAATAAAGATATCCAATTATCCTTATCCTTTGTATTTTTTAACCTCCTTGTACCATAAGTTATAAACCAATATGATAATAGAGAAACAATTAAAAGATGTAATAGCAATGGTTCAAGTATTATATTAAAACGCGGAATGAATTCAATCCCTAATTGTGCAATTTAATTTAATTATCTGAGGTCTGTTTTTAATTAGAGACTGAAATGACATTTCTTGGGTTTCTAGCTTTAATAGTGATGTGCTTTTATACGCCACTACCGGAAAAAACGTAAATAAAACAATATCGTTTTTGTATAAGTTATCATGGAAAATGTAATGATTCTTATTTAAAACGTAATAATACAAATTAGGCAAGTTTAAATAAATAAGTAAATTCTAGGGGAAAAGACATTTTAATGAATCAATAACAGGTATTGGTCGGAACCAAATACTATACGCCCGATGTCGGAATGGTATAATAATATAACAAGTAATATAATGACAAATTGTACGTGACAATGTATCGACACGGATAGATACAAACAAGTCGTTATTCCACTTAATATGGTATGTATAAGAGGTCTTTAAATTTTCGACGAATACAGAAAAAATGCCGTGCTATCAAAAATATTTATAACATCAATCTAAGCGCCTTTTAAAGATAAAAGTTGCGATTTAAAAAACCGGTCACAGGTACATCACTGCACAAAAGAAGCTGACATTTGGAAATTTGACATTTGCATGTGACAATTTAGTATCTCTGTTTCTCTCTCAGTAAGAAATAGAGTCTAAATTCCAATCAAAAATCGCTTCAGCTCGTAGCAAATCCAATCCAAAAATTAACTTTCATTTACATAAAATTATTTCAATGTTACATACAAATAAAACAAATCCAAAATTGGCATTTAATCTTAACAGCACAAACAAAACAAAAAGATTTGTATCTATTAACTAAAAGTTTGAATAAAAATGACAATAACAATAAACATTTAACTTATAAACTTAAACTATTAAGAAAACATGTATTTTTCCGCTTGTTCATTATCTACTTTTTCTAAAACCTGTGTTGTGGTTGACGGCTCGTCGATCGCTAAAGAGATATATGGACTTAATGCCTTTGTAGCGTTCGGGGTAAGATGCGACACCCTTCGCCGGTACACCATTCGCCGTGCCCCAGATGTCAATCACTGACCGAATTTCCTCGTTTATATCGGCATGGATGACAATTAGTACCGTAGATGCATCAATGCCGCCTTTCTTCACTTGCGCATTGGCTCCGCAAGATTTTATAGCGACGTTGTCGACATGCACATACTTGATAAGATAATTTGGAAAATAGTTTTCGTATACGTACATTTGTCCCTCGTGTACAGAAACTGGTCCGTTTTCTATAACAGCAGAGTCCAGATGTTTCAAGTTGTGTGACCATTTGCCAATTTCAAGCGCTGTTTTGGGATTTTTGCAAGCCAACTTTCCTCCGCTGCAATCGATTATAAGGACAAATAAGCATATTGCAATTCGATACATTTGTGTTATTAACGCGAGACGTTTCAGGTGCGCGTAAAATTTGCAACTACAATAGATGCCAAAATCTTTGTTTTATTGTTAACCATTGTTCGATACACAATTAACATGTACATGGTGCGGCGGTAATAAGACTGACCGTGACTAACTTAGCTGGCTGTGAATTCATCAAAGATGTAACGGCTTTCAATACAAACATTTTCGTTATAGGTCAATAATGGTTATTATTATTTACATTGCTTAAGAAAACATGAAATAAAAGTTTAATGTGTTGGTAATTGTTTAAAGTTTCGTCCATGACCGAGGGGACGACTAGGCTTTAATTACGCTGGCAAAGAATGAATTAGTTAATTTCTTATTATATTGTTTGAATTTCTTAACCGATGTCCAGGCCATGTAGCCTGTAATGATGTCATTATGTTGTTCGTTGCCATAAGAATGTCGGTTAAAAACGTCGTATGGGATTCCACAACAAACAAAAACACATTGTCATTTTCTGGTATTAAAGCCGGACCTGTAGATAACAAACACAATGCTTTACCACTGCTTCATAAAAGCTAAAATATAGTCTCATCGATAAAATAAAGTACTTATGTAGAACGTTTAAATATATTTGGTGGCTAACGCAGACTTGCGTATTGAACATCCCCTCCCCCGCATCCCGTACGCCCCGCTACAACAAAAATTGTTTTCTGTGCAGACACCTGCGATATTCCGAGTCGGCAAAATGTTTAAAAAATTAAACAAAAAATTAATAATTAAACTATTACGTAAAAAGAATTAAGAAATAAAACAAGTATGCTAATGCCACTTTTTATTGTCGAGAAATAATTCATTAGCGGGCGCTTAAAAATAAAATTTTTCTTCATTTTATATAATTTTAGTAAACAATAACATCTAAATAAAACTAATGGACTCGAAAATGTTACATAATGCGGTATTTATTATACATCTGAAACGACGGAAGGTTAAAAAAACTTTTAGTTGTCTCCTCAAAAATCTTTGGTGTACACTGATCCATATCTGTTATTCACCACATGAAGAAACTGAAAATTGTTACTAAAATAACACGACAATAATACAAATAATATCACTTTGACATATACTTTAAATTACTCCGAAACACCTCTTAATAGAAATACATTAAAAAATTGATCCGACGTGCACTTAGTACACGCGACGAACGTATTCATGGTAAAGTCCCGTAAGACGATAAACTCTTGTGATGATCACCTCTTGTTGTCTATTATACGTATATTATTGCTATCCTCATACATATTAGTACTCTTTTTTCATTTAACTACAACAAATAAAGTTGATATCCTTTCATTTTATTACATTAATGTTACATATTTCCTAAAATTTAAATTCATTGATACTTTTCGAATGGTAAAAAAACGTGTTTTCTATTTCATGGAGGAGTGTAGTCCGTCATAGTTTTATGAATGAAAATTAGTGGGAAAATTTGGGATAAAGTATTCGTAAGATCATGGATAAAATTTGTTTGAGATCCGTTTGTTTACGCACAAATGCCATATAAATTTTGTCAATATTTATACGAATATTTAAATTGTGCTAGAACTTCTGGAATTTGAAACTAGGACACTTGATATCCGTTTAGGGAGATTTACTTAGGATTATTTTATCAGAATTTTTGATGTATTACTAGTCTTATATTTAAATGTAAAAAGGACGGACTCGCCGATATGTCTTCCGGAACCAAATTTAAAATGGACATAATATTGTTTACTTGAAGATGCAAATTGTAGCGCAGATTGTTGATCAGTTTAAATGTAAATTTGAATTTAACTTATAAACTGAAAGAACAAAAATCGAGCTAAACTTTTAACTAAACTAAATTATACTATACAAATGCCGATTACATATAAAATTGATACATCATAGTTAGAAGCACTGAGATTCCAAACATTTTATGAATAATAAAATTCACGTGTAAATTAAATATAAAAGTTGTTAACACAATAAAACTGACATTGTTTAAAGAGATTAGAAAATAGATAATTTACATTAAAAACGTCAATTTAATTACTAAGACATGTATTTTTATATCTAAAATAGAACAATAATTCAATTTTTTAATTAAAAATGTTATTACACATAATAAAGATATACTTTAATACCATACAAAATTACAAATAAAATGTAGCAAAGTGATGATCGATTTTATGCACTAAGTAATTTTAAATTGTGCATTTGGAAGCCCTGCAAATAAGCAAATTAAATGTGATAACAAAAAAAGCGATAAACCAATTAATTCATATATGTATATGTATCACAAACAAACCTTGTTCCTAGCGATTCCTTAAGTACTAATAATTAAGTAATTTCAAAATTTAATTATCAATTTCATGGTTAATGTACATTTTTTGTAAATATTTAATATAATTTTGATATAAGGCATCACATTTAGAAATATAAATTTAATTATTACATTATATTTTGTCCTTTTTTTCAAATACATAATTTTGATTTCTTCACCATTTTAATGTTTTACATCAATAAGCTGCATTATAAACACATAAGTTATCTTTTAAAACCATTTTTACGTATCACATTTTATGGCATCAGAAAGATGCCACACGAACAGTGGCCATATCGCCCATTGGTTACAGAGGACAACGTACAACATAGCTTCTAGTAGAATGGTCTGTAAACCACCTTATAACACGTTTTACCATAGGGCAGAACCATAAATCGCGTTATGGGGTCCTTTAAAAATATTGTTGAGAATATTAGCGTTACAGGGGGTAATTTCTGCGTTATACGATTTATTGTACTTGTCGAAAGTGGCGCCACCATTCACTAAACGGTTAGTTTGCTCTACAGTGACGCGACGCACTGCTCGTGTGGTATCCCTCTATCAGATAAAACTTTTGTTAAATATCCCTTCCCGTATAAGATCGAATAAGATAGATTTCAGTCAAATCATTTTTCACTTATAAAAGGGCCTTACTATAATTTCATGCGTTAATAACAAACATGGAAATTGGACGGTTTGTTAGTTTACGTTTATAAAAACAACGAAAAGGTGAAATTATAAAAAAAATATATTAAAATATAGCTGATCAGTTTTCATTTCGATATTATAATTTTTTTCTAAACTGTAAAAAGGAATACCTACATAAATTAATTACATGTTTCAATTATCTCAGTAACTGTATGAAAATCGGAAATCATTGATTAATATTATATTCAGGCGATATAATATTAAATTAAATTTATATACAGTGTGTGGCAGTGTTATAAAATTTAAGGCACGTCTATTAATTTGTACTCGGGAAAAAGCTGAGTAGAGATATTTACATTATAGTATATTTAACAGGGCCTTACATTAGCTTTACTTACGTACATATATAACATTGTAACAAGATCTGCATAAAAGCATGGACAGTTCATATCTAGAGTTATTTAAACCGATTACAAAAGAGAAAGTGATAAATTGTCTTGTATATTTTTTACTCAATAATTTAGACAATTACAAACCGATCATTGGAAAAATTTTGTTGAAAATCTAGGAGTCTTGCAATTTGAGGCAATGTTGGTATTTATTTAAAATACGGACGGTTATTAAGGCTAAAATGGGCGGTCATTGGTGGATTACATCCTGAAGTACTAAACTAGGTAATGGATCAAACGCAATCCGCGCTACTATTTGACGATACAAGTGAGAATTGTTGAAGTTGACTGTGCGCAGAGCTGCTTACATATGTATAGTAGCTGCAGTGTACCGAGCTTCACCGCGTCTCCATCCCCATTGGGAAGGTCGATACTGTAAAATCATTAATATCAATTAATAAACAATAACAAAAATATAGCAAATTATTTATAATTAAGTAAATAAATATTTTGTATTTAATTTTTTCATCGTCTTTCTCCTTATCCTACCCCCGTAGAGTCAAAGCCACAGTTTTTTGTCCTCCACATAACACTATCATACGTCATCTCAGTCATCACTTCCTTTTTGATCATGTCACCTTTCACGCAATCCATCCATCTCTTTCTACCTCTACCTCTACCGGTGTACCCTTCCAAACTCATAAATAACTTTCTCAGATTATTGTTCTTTAAACATAGATAGTGTTAGTACATTCTAGATATTAAAACATTTTAAATTAAAAAAGGAGTTATTTCTAGTGATTTCTGACATCCTACGCCACGAAGTACTGTGTTTGAGCTTTATTATATTAGTACTAGCTTTCGCCCGCGATTCCGTCCGCGTGGTATTAAAAAAACAAAGGCAAGTATCCTATGTGTTCTTCCAGACTATGCTCTAAACCTGTGTCAAATTTCATGGAGATCCGTTGAGCCGTTTAGGCTACAAACGCTAACAAACATCCATCCATCCATCTAAACTTTCGCATTTATAATAATAGTAAGAAGTAAGATTAGTAAGTAGTATAGATTATACCTTAATAAGGAACTGTCCGCTGCGGGTGTGCGGGTTCTTGAACGCGTATAGTATCCAAGCGGCGAGACAGCATACGAGAGCTACGAGCACGAAGGCCGCGACAGCGCCCCCTACCGGCGACCGCTCCGCCGCGCCCACACCACTCGCCACACCCACACGCTCGCTACTCGTCTTATCCGCACCGGTGTGAACTGAAATACATTAATATCAAATTACAATCAACACTATAAACCAACTAGAAACCATGCCAAAGTGGCAATAGCCTAATGGTTTGGGGTACGGACTACCGATCTTAAGGTCGAGGGTTCGCAATCCCGCCAATCGACTATTCTCGTGAACCATATCCTAGCAAAAGCCTACACAACTTAGTTGAAATGGTTAAAACAAATATTAGTAAATTAACAAAAATCTACTAATATTTCTTAAAAAAAATACCTTAACTACAAAATACACTTAAGTACGTAAATTCTTAATTTTTTTTAGTTAAAACATGTTTTCACACAACTTTTGACATCTTTCTTTTACAATATCACTTCACATTACTTCATAATTATTACAAATTAACTTTTGCATCCACTCCGAAGGGTGGTATTACAAAATCTTATTTATTAATAATGTTTTTATGTGATTTTCTACACTATCAACTACATATATCAGTATGAAGTAAGATATCAATTTGGCCGCCATGTATGGAATTTGATGTATCCCTCTTTACTCGATTAAGGTTTTCAATCAATACAAAGAATAGGCGTAGCGAATTTTAAAAATAATCAATAAAAATCTCCGTTTGTCTATAACTTTAACACGAGGCAATATAGACTAAATGAACGAATGACAAGCCTTTCTTAAAAATCGTAAGCAATATTTAGTCATAATAGAACGCAAACAAGTCACTTGTTAGATGAGGATATATATAAATATAGTATTTACCTGTGCTAACAACAACTACAGAGTTGTTTTGTCCGTCAGTAGTGTAGGCTGTGTTGCTGTTGTCAGAGGGCGCGTTGATCGGTGCATGTGCGGGGCAAGACGATAAGTTCATCACAGGCTCTCTATCGCAATCTGGTGATGATTATAATATCGTTAAGAATAATTATATATAGCTACACTAATATTATAAAGAGGAACAATTTTGTATTTTTGTATGTATTGATATAACACAAAAGCTACGTTATCACGTTTTTTTTATTTCACGGGAAGAAATCACATATTACTTTGCAGGATGTCAATCACAGCATATTTTAAATAATTTCTAACTAAAAGCCCTACACTTATGACACGCTATAGGCTATACATGTTCGAGATATTTAATTTATGGGTTGAATAAATGTCTTCATGTTAATGGCGCAACACATATTGTCAACTTTATCCTCTTAAAGTAGTGTATAAAATCAAAATAAACTTACTTCTAACTATCCAATCTTGTTTGTTCCTGTCGGTGCCGCTTGAACATTTACGAATCTGTTCACACCATAGACACTGAAAAAGAATAATAATAAAATTACTAGCTTTCGCCCGCGAGTCCGTCCGCTTGGAATTAAAAAGAAAAGCAAGTAGCCTTTGTGTTATTCCAGACTATACTCTACAGGTATGCCAAAATCTATGGAGATCTGTTCAGCCGTTTAAGCTACAAACTCTAACAAATATCCATTGATACATCTAAACGTTATTTATCAGTTAGATTTGGTTAATATGTTATGCTTTAGATAGTTTTTATAAAAAAAAAAAGTTATTAACTAGGAAATATTTTTAAATATCCATTAGTAGTTATGACAAAGGTATTTAATCACCTGGAAGCCGGTGTTGTGGTTGGCGCAACTCTCGCATGTGTTGTACTGTATGCAGGTCGGCAGCGCTGTCAATTTCAATATTGTGTTGTTTGAAATCTCATGATTCTTGAAAGAGACGCGATGATACTCGTAGATTGTTTTATGTCTTACACCTGATAGAAAAGGAAACTGTTAAACATACTAATACAAGGGTTTTTTAATATCAGAAATTACCGAGAATGTTAAAAAATATTTTTATACTTTAAGAATTTGTTAGTTTAACAAAGAGAAAAAGGATGTAAGCGGGCGAGCAATGTACGGTTAATTACTTTATATAAAGTAAAATAAAATATAAATAAAATCTTCTAGGAATAGTTTATATCTATTTTGCTGAATCATTTAGTGGATTAAATTGAATACATTAAATAAAAAATGAAGCAACAAGAAATGAAAACACTGTTATCTAAATGGAAACATTACAGGAGATAACCTTTGCCAATGCCTTTGACAATGCAAGAGAAGTGTCTCTTGCATTGTAAACAGTAGACACTTCTTATTAATAAGATAACCGAAGACATTATATACAAGTAAATAATGTAAATAAGAATGTTTTAATTTATGATGAATAAGTTGTTATTGTTCTCTTTATGTAGGTTATTAATACATCTGTGCATTTGCTTTCATTGGCAGAAAAATTCCATTTAAATAAACCTTTAAAATTATTCATGGAAATTTTAATGATAAATAAAATAAATAAATAAAAGTTTTGTATTTACATCTTTGTAACGAAATAATAAATTTCTATGAAAGGAAATAACTTACTGAATAGGTATTTATCTTTTAAATAAGCATCGCTGATGCCAACTTTAACTGGATGCTCCTTATCGTTGATTTGCTGAACGGGTATTGGGATGTCTTTGTATGTGAATACAATATCTCCATTCTTGTTCAGAGTTGCTGCAAACGTGAATGTTTTTGTTGCATCTTCTTGCAGTGTCACATTCTCCCAGATCACGGTAAACTTTGTTCCTAAAACAACATACATTTTTACTGGTATTGTGAATTAAAAATAACTTCTATGTCACTCAATGTAAGAATAGAATTCAATATCAGGTTCACAACATTCGCACACTAAATATACCATAGTAAAATTGATCCTCTATAGTTGAGTCGTAAAGGTATATTTACAAGTAAGGACATTTTTTAAAGTCAATTCTGTCTAGTCTATCTATGCCATTTATTAGATAAGAATTTTTGTAATGTCGAAAAAATATTCAGGTGTATTTTTAAATGTGCAAGTATTGTTAATAACAACTATTTTCAAATTTTTGTCTGTGTTAATCTACGGAATGTACGATTCCACTATGACGGCACTTTTTATGAAGAGTAGTTAATTATTTCATGAGTAAAATATGCTGTTTTTCTTTTATTTCTCCATTATACTCAATATTACATACTCCATTTACCTATATCATCATCACCAGCTATATATCCCCACTTGTGGCTCGGAGCCTGCTCTAAGGAGTGTCTATATAGATGAATATTGCAAATTAGACTCACCGTCATCATACATTTTAACCATACTATCATTAGTAAGAGTGGTGTCGAAGTTAGCCATCAATGGTGCAATGTACTGCGTGGCAGCAAGCCAGTTGTGTACATGCTCGCCAGTGTAGATAAACCCGCCAGTTGCTACAGTTATATTCCGTATATCTTGACCGTAGAATGGAAAATCAAAACTCAACTTCAACGTCTGGAAAATAATTTTTAATTGACAATGTACCAGAAAATATACTTTGTTTGTATTTACTACATCTGGTTTATTTCAGGCATATAAGGTTTTTATTTACTGATGTCTGTCAAGAATAAATTAACATATTGAGTACTATTTAATAAAATATGATAACTTCATTACTTCGGCGAAGTTTTTAGCGAATAGCGCACTATCTGAACTGTCGTATTAATTGAATTTATATAGTTCACAATACTACAAGATTTTTTTGTAGGGTGGATAGTCGATGGTACTAAAAAAATCTTGTTCTAATCTGGTCAAGGTTGCAATTCTATTATTGTAAGAACATTAAACAGCGGAAGTTTCAAGCTGAAATGGATAGATAGATGGTACTTTACCGTGGCACGTCGATGCGAGTTACTGAGGACTTCGTGTATTTCAGGTTTACGTTCAGTGATGTTTGCCCAATATTCCTTCACATAGGACACATTGCCGATGAATGTGCTATTGTAGAACATGTGATTGTCCTGCGTACAAAAATAATAAACGATTATTACACATACTGAAACGATGATGACAAAGAGAATCAGAAGCAATTATAATTTAAACAACAATGTTATAAATACACAACGCACAGTATTGTGTTATAATAGCTGAATAATTATCAACGATATATATTTATTTGTGTATGTGCCTAAAACATACATTAAATTATCTTACTAATATTATAAACTAGCTTTCGCTCGCGACTCCGTCCGCGTGGAATTAAAAGAAACTAAGTAGTCTATGTGTTCTTCCAGACCACACTCAACATCTATGCCCAATTTCATCGAGGTCCGATTAGCCGCTTAGTGTACAAACTCTAACAAACATCTATCCAACCATCCATCCATCCATCCATCTAAACTTTCGCATTTGTAATATTAGTAAGATGTGTATGTACAGATGAATGGATGGATGAATGTTAAAAATAAGCCTAAACGGCCGAACGGATTTCGATGAAATTGGGCATAGATGTATAGGATAGTCTGGAAGAACACATAGACTATTAACTTTTGTTTCTTTTAATTCCACGCGGACGGAGTCGCGGGCGAAATCTAGTAATCCATATATTATAATTTTAAAGGATAAGTCAGTACTCACATAAACCAAACTGGTTAGATTGTGTTCAGCTTTAATCGTTTCAGGAGTTTCCCGAAACACATCAGAGGTATCTGTAAAGAAACGACACAAATATAGCTTTTATGGCATATATAGTATGTATCAAAATCAGTAATTGAGACTGAGGCACTACTTTGTACCTCAGAGTGCCATGATGATGTTAGAATTTTGTTTAATCTGGCAAGAGTATGTAAATGTTCCGATTATTATGTAATTGTACATTGTACAGTGAGACCATCATAATTCATCATCCACTAAATATTAAGGATAAAAAGTCAAGTCAAGCAATAAAAGGACAAATGTGAGTAAGTGCAAGAAACCTTTATGAAGATAGACGGCAACCGAGGAACCAGCCAATTAACGTCAAGCAAACATTCAATTTTAACATTTATCCCTAACATACATTTTAAAAGAGGATGCACTTATTTGTCTGGAACTGTCCGTCTGCATACCAACAGACGGATAACTAATGTTTGTAATAAATTATAACTATGCTCATATAAGATAAGTTTTCCTCTTTATAATATTAGTAAAGATAACACTGTTGGTTATTAAGATCTTTTTAGACGAACTTGAAAATTACTATCAGCATAAAATTGGCTCTTGAATGGTTAAATCCGGAACAATAATTTGTTCCGGTTTAAATCTAAAATTTTATATTTGTAATAATTGTACAGAAGTTTAATTTTTATTTGATGAATAATTAAGTAAATTCATATAGAAAGTTAAATATTAAGAAGTAAAAATTAAGTTAACTCTTGGTTTATGTCATGTTAGTATTACGATTACAAATAAAGTTTCTAACGTAACAATATTTAAGACTTACTAATGACCGCAGTTTATTTAGCTTAACGACTCATAGCACATTACACTAATTAAGTCGTATTTGAAATACGTCACGCCTTTTTTCCATAACAACTATATCATATGATAACATTATTTTATTTCATGCTCTCGAATACATAGATTTAAATAATAAGGCCAGTACTCAGGTTTACTTAAGAAAATTAATGCTTTCCATACATATGACAAATAATAATTTTATTACAATATATAACAGCGGGGAACGATTGCTAATTTTTTAATGATTGACTATTAAAGTTGCTAAAAAAAGATAATTTTTGAATGCTGGCAACATTTGAAAGTTTGAATTGGTATTGTAATGAGTTTTTTAGCAGACCCCTGATTGATTTGATATTTGTGATGGCGGTGATCAAATAAAAGACTGCAGTTGTCACTTGATGGTCGAGGGATGCGCTGTGGTTATGCGCACGAACAAAGTTAATTGTTTAATCCTTATAAATCTTTGGAATACAGTCAGTGTTGTGCACTTGTCACTAAATATTGAAGGACTGTGTTACTGATATTATTTTATTATCTCCGACCTTCGCACGACCATATTAGAGGATAAAAGTTACCCTATGATTTACCTTCGAAATTAACTTCTGCAAGTCGTTAGTCACTCCGACACATTTAATTAGCAAAATATTAAGATTATGATTACATTTACGAAAATCTATTTTTCACTATATCTATTTCAATATGTTTTATATATTACACCATATATCATACAATTTTGAGATGAACTCTTTTCGTCACATCAACATAAAATTAAAAGTGATATACTTACTATCGTCGGGTAGAAGCGGCTCACTCACTTTAGGCATATTCTCAGTGAGGTTAACGCGCAATATTCCACTGCCATTGACTCCCAACAACGGGATCCTTGTGACCGTAGCTTCAGATGGGGTAGAGGGCTCTGAAATACAGTTAAAGAAAGTTTGTCAGAACTAGCATTATTTAAAATTATAATTCGGCAATCTCTAATAAAAATAGAACATTGAACGAGGCCCCTGGTTCATTAAGAGGTGCCTTAGTGTTAATTTGATACCATTAAATTAATCATTGATCAACTCTTACTGCCACATGTACGCAATCATGAAATAGCTAGGAACATCAAGTTTTAGAGCCTAAGTGAATTGTTGAAAGAAATCGTGTCTATAAATTTTTGCGTAAATAAATAATAATCTAAGTTAATTTTAGTATTCTAAACAGATGAATTATTTAAGACTAGAAATATATCTAGGAACAGATCTATACGATGGAACTTCGAATTTATATTATGTTGCATTTCATTTCTCGATAAAGGTAGTATGTAATCAAGTTCAAAATATATTAAATACGATAAATGTAGCTTCCCTACATTTAAACGGGCCACGACTTTAATTAAACTTTGTTGAAAATTGAAAAACGGATTATCAAGTGCGACATAATCGTCATGATCGTGAAATAATTCGACAACATTGGTGGTTCTAGGCTTTTAAATAGAGTGCAGTAAAACAATAACATGAAAACACAATGAACAAAACGATATTTTGATCTGCATGACTCAATTATAAATGTTATCTCGTTGTTATTCTTAACAGGTTATCGTCAGCAAGTGTCAAAGCCAGTTTATACTTATGTCGTCTCGACATTAGGTGCAAAGTACACATTGGGTGTAAAATACGAATTAAGTTCATTGATTGTTTAAGATTGTTCTTTTTTGCATTATGCCGTAATGGTGTTTACCCCAAAATATGATTGAGTGTTGTTGTATTCTAGTTTAGAAGATGTTGCTCCTAATCCTTATCTCCTTATTATAAATGGTATTTACAATATACACGATGGCGATGACGTTTTCTGTTGATGTTATCGATGAGAACCAAATACACTGAATGCCAAAAAATATGCAAAAGCAACAGAGAAACTTCGCATAGGCATTGTATTATCGCAATCAAAAATCGCAATGTTAGTGTGATCAATACATTATAAATATTTATGGTTTAAAAAATAAGCGAGGCGTGCATTCGCATATAAAAGCAGACTAATGAAAAACTACGCGAGCATATTTAATATTTTTGTAATTATTGATAAAATAAATATTTGGCTATCCTCGATTAAGTTTTTATTGGGGAAAAAATGTGACACAACCTTCAAAGTGTAGTGTTTGCATTAAACTAAAATGCTCATTGAACATGTTACAAACAAATTCAATCCACGTTCATCTTCATTCAGAATTAAGTTTTCGATTTTATCCATCGATAAAAACTTCTCTTTTGCTGTTTACATTCTACAGTAGTAAAATAAAGAGATATATGTTAAGGCTTTAACAATTAATACCTCATAAGAAATAATAAGAAAATTTTTGCAAGAAACAATTAGTTGAAATTTCTTAAAATAATAACAAAGCATTTGTGATGAGTGTCCACGTAGTCGTACAATCTAAAGATGTCTATCGGGAACTTAGTTTCAACAAACTACACAATAAGTAAGTAAATACACGTGACATAATACGTAACAATACATATTTATATTTAAGTTTATCATAGGATCAGAGTAAAATGGTTTAAATATATGGCCCAAATAATGTTGGACCTTGAGACTATGTTTGTTTTATAGCCGTAAGACGTAATAACGACACTTTACGGTTCGATGCCGCTCCGCTCTACACCGGCAAATAAGGCACGTATGTAAATATATAATCTTAAAGTAATAACAGTGGCACACAAAGACGACGCATTTATCTCGTGTCAGCTCATTAAGAGCGAAGAATGACTGTGTGCACATAAACACAATGAGACAAATTCTTCAATAAACCTACTCGATTTATATTTACTTTTCAAGGGTTTGATGTCCTGTATATTTTTACCTTCAATTTCGACATTTTGCACATCGAATTCATAAATCAGAATGTATAATTTAAAGAATATAAATATATTAATAGAACGTTTCATTTTCATATTTCACAAGTTACTTGCATGCAAAACCTTCTCGAGATCTGTATTGTGTAGTGATTCACAATAATATTAAACGATGCAACGCTTTATTGTGAAATGCAAATCAAAAACAAATGTTTTGAAAAAAACTTGAGAATAAGAGAGAAATACATTATGTGAAATCAACTAAACCGAACTACAAATTCATCTAAAAATGGTAATGGAGAAATTGGTTCATTCGAACACAGTAACTGTATGACAAATAGTAAAAAAGCGAATTACGTCACGTGTAAACACCTGTGTAATTTCCCTGTGGCAAATAATAAATACTTAGATCATCGGCTACCATATGTGTACGTCGCGCATAAATTATGGAAAAAGTAAACAATAAATAAAGACAAATGCCAAGTTGATAATGAGAGAATATATTGTACGAGCGCGCAAAAGTCTTACCACAATCAATACCGGTTTTTCTTGAATGCGTAAAATAAGAATATAGTAATGGTGTCTACATTATGTTTCCTTTTTTTATGTCCATTAACAATAAAATGCAGAACGGCCTCTCGTCTCGTATTACATTTAAACTGCTGAACGTTCATCAATGATTGACATATAGTAACGGCCAAAATAAATCCAACATTTTTCAAACATGTCAAAAAATGATGTCTTTTGCACGATTTCATTTGCAAACTAAGCTATTATTATAACAGGTATTTCCATACATAGCATAAATTAAGGATACTCGTCGTGTTTATCCGCTAACAGTTTCTAAATGAATTCCGAAACTATTTCGATCGTTGTATAGATAACTAATTTAAGTTACTTTATTTAATAAAGCAAAACATAAAATGTCGCCCACCAAAAATTTCTTTAATGACTTCGTATGCCACGTATTATACGTAAACTAATGATTAAAATTATTTTAACACAAGTATGTATATTTTCAAAAATTATTGAGGTAGGTACCTTTTTTATGATAAAAGGGGGCAAACGATCGGCGAGAACACCGAGGTGGTCAACGAGGCCTATGGACATCGGCAACACCAGAGGATCTACAGATGCGTTGCCGGCCTTTGTGAAAATGATAGGTTCGCTATTTGAAGGACCCTAAGTCCTATTGGTTTGGAAATACCGCCGAGGCCAGACCGTTAAAATTGCCTTGTTCAATACTTCAATGTCCGTGTTAAATATTAAAACTAATAAAGCTACTACGTGAGGTATTTCTTCTATGATTTGACATTTGATAAATGGTGGATACTTACTGGTAGTGTTGTTTACTGTCCTATTGGTATCTTCTGTGGGTGTTGTTTGAGTTGGCTTGGAGGATCCATTTGATACAGGGACCGCGACTGTCGTGGAAGATTCCGTCACGGCCGTCGTCGGGGCTGGAGCGTCCCGTCGATAACGCTCATGTTCCAATAATACTATCTTTGGTTCACTAATGAAAGTAACCAAGCCCTCATCTAATGCGTAATTCACATTACTTCCTGGGAAAAAAAAAGTTTATATTACTAAAGATGAATAATTTACACGTAAGTAATGACAATTAGAAAACACCAGCACCAACTAGGTGTATTGCAATTTGAATCACAACTAGGGTTGAACATTTGTCTATTTTCATTGCTACGCGATATTATTTTAATAATCATAGAATCGCTGCGACAATTCATTTCCATTCCTACTCCTTTAATGATATAACGCGTTGATATTCAGAATCCCTATTCTACATGAAATAACTTTACGCTTGTTGTGGGCCAACTGAATAAACAATTAAAACAAACAAAGCTAAACAAACATTGTTTTTGCATTAAGAAATAATTGTCTAAAAATGTTTATAATAGATAGTTACCAAAATATTTTTTCGATTATAAAACTATGAAATCACATTTTATAGTTTTTTTTTTTATAAATGTCGTTATAATATTTTTGGGAAAAAAAATTAAACGACATATGATTTTTGAGCAATATATTAAAAAAGTAGTAATAGAAGGTAATAAAACGTTCGTTCGTAATAAGAGTCGTTGTTATTGGTTGATATCCGGGAACTGGATATCGTTTAAGTAGATGTCGATTAGCTGGACACCCAATGGCTAAACAACATGTAGAATACAAAATTACAACTCTTGTGTTTTTCATTATGTCATTCGTTCTAGTCTAGGGCCTAATCGGACATCTGCAAGTGCGAACCGTACAAGTACAATTGGGAAAACGTACTAGTACACACTTTTAGTACCTTTAATACTTCATATTTGTGTGAACACAATACATGAATAGAATATAACGAGGGTTATATATTACTTCACATGAAATTTTAAGCAGGGTCAAACATATGTTATTGGCGAAAATGAATTTAGTTTTAAATAATTTTATGCAGTTTTAATTCTCATTATCGAAGATGGATGCTTAAATCTGGCAAACATTCAAACAACGAAGAGGCGAACACTGATATCGTGTAGTGTACTAAAAGTGCCAAATGTCCGATTAACAGAAGCCGTTCGGTAACGTTACTTTTAGTACAGTGCCGAGTAACATTACTTTTTAGTACATCGTACGTGTACTACCCAAGACTAATCCGTTCCAATCATCACCAGAATTAAGGTGACTCTTAATTGCCCTGATGATTGTACATTTTTTAATGACAATATATTCGAGAGACTTCTGAGGCAGAGAAAACTACCTGTTATTTATTCAACAACTCTTCTTTTTTATAGACCACAATCAAATAGTGTTCTGAATTATTTACTTTATCTAGCAACTTGCCGCTTCGTACGCGTGGAATAAAAAAAGGAAAAATGTAGCCTATGTTACTCAGTAATAACGTGGTTTTTAGTAACAGAATTATTGTAATCGGCCCAGTAGTTATTGAGTTCTTTCAACACAAACAAGAATCCAAAAATACAAATCTTTCCTCTTTATAATATCTTAATTTAAATAATTTAGCACCAAAAGAAACAACATATCTGTGTGTTTAAAAATTTAACTCCAAGGCGGATGATTACATAGAAAAACGCGGGATTTCCTTTAAAATAGACAAGTAACATTTTCAGTAAAGCCACTGACATGCTAATATATAGTGGTTTTCCTGTAGAAATTAACTATAACTGTTGAACTAAATTACTTAATTAAGTTCAACAATTATGGGGGCGGATATATTAATTGACACTTAAATTGACAAAAGTAATTTCTATTCCCCATTGCCCCACACAGAGTCCCAAGTCCCTTTGTATATAGTTATTATGAATAATGTGCACTGAGTGAGTCTTTAACGGACCATTTAGTGATTAACTGCAGCAGTAAGATCTCTTCTTATCCTAATTACTAGCTAAACTCAGCAAACATTGCAATTCCAAAGTAAAGTAGTAGCCTAATATAAAAAAAATCTTTATAATCATAATGTAATTGCGCAAGGATAAAGTATAATTGAACACAAAAAAACATTACTACAATTTACTAGAAGCTTATAGAATTCCATAAATTTATTATAGCAAAAGTGCCTTGATTACCAGGTTTAGGCTGAAGTTGTCTTTTCCTTGTGAATCTGGTATGCATTTAAAGGTGATGTTGGTATTTAGGAAGAAATAATAAGTATACTTCTTTTGATATATTTATTTTGCTTAAACATGCAATTAAAAAAGATATGATTCTAATGAAATTAGCTTAAAATTGTGTGAACTTCAATATTATTAATAAGAATCTGGTCTATGTGAGGTGCATCTTTAACATGAATTCCTAAATAGCACCAACGAGACTAAACTTGAATGTGATTAATTGTTACAGTATTAGTAATGTAACCACCATAACAGCCATTGATTGGGCTTGCATTTTCACCTTTGTCAAAGTAAATTATCATACCAAATCTTTATGGAGTTAAAGGTTAGCATGGCTATGGGCATGTTATGAGGAGGGATGAATCACATGTTACAAGGAGAATGTTATTTATGAGCATGGAGCTATACCGGTAGAGGTAGACCTAGAAAGAGATGAATGGATTGTGTGTAAGATGATACAACCAAGAAGGGAGTGGTGAGAGAGATGATAGGTGGTAGAGTTATTTGGTGGATGAAAACCAAAGGTGTGCCAACCTTACTGGAATAGGATAAGGTAGATGGGATAATGATAACAAATTTTTGTCCTATTTCCTTTTTAACAATTCGTAACCTACAATTAAATAGACTAAAAAATGACTTACTGATTTTGTTTTTACAGTGTTTTAAATGTTAGTCATATTTAGCAAAAAATCAGTAATTGATTAATATTTTACAAGATATCGGTAACTACAGCCATTAACCTAAAATCAATGAATTTCTTTTGCAATAACCAAATATATATTTCAATGCAGTTTTTATAAGCACAGTAACAAAAACAAACATGTCTCATGGAAACCTACCATTTTAAGATAATCATTCAATTATTCATATTTATGATATTTTTAAGAATTACTATGTATGGATCTCTTTACTATACATAATGCTTTTATTTTATTGTTCACAAAATGAGGCTGTTGTACGGAACTTAAATTTTGTTACCCTGTCATTTAAAAATGTCTAATTTCGATTACTAAAAAAACTGGCAATTCAGTCTCCTTTTTGTTTAAGAACAAACAATTAGTGTACTGGCATATAACATCAAGCATTGCCTTCACCATCAAATTCTTCTTATCCCCATGGAGGGTCGGCACATTATGTGCTGCTCTTCCATACATTTCTATCAGCTGTCATATCTGAAGCTTTCAATCTTTTACATTTCAGATTAAAAGATACTGACATCATTATGATATAGTAATCTAAATCTACATTTTAAATATTTACATGTGAAAATGTATACAATGGAACAATCTGAATTATTTCCTGAAAAAACCTATGCAATTAGACCATTTGACCTAAAAACATTTTGAACATAGTTTAACTAAATATTTGTGAATAGCTTAACTAAATGACGAGATTTTTAAGAGCTATTTAAAAATTTGATTTACATCCGCAATACATTCAATGCTCTTTCATTACAGGATTAAGCCTTTTTGTCTAACCCACTTTATTCTTTAATTTGATGTTAATGTGATTGTAACACTTTGGAGTCTAACTAACCACATTCGGAATGAAATAAATGCTTCATAGAACTTTATTATACATCAATTCAATGATGTCATTTCGTGATGTTGGAAAGTTGTACTATTGTAACAAAGTTTTTAAACTTAATTAAGTTATAAAATATTGACATAAGGCTGCTTAAAAAAATTACGATAATCGTAAAAAACGTTGTAGCTAAATAAGTACATTACTTTTTTAATATGCACTTACCCTTTACGCAGTGGCTAAACCAAATCAGTAGTAACAGTGACGTGGTGGCCATCACCTTCGGTAATAAAGAAAAATACATTGTTCCAGAAAATGACACGTTCTCCCAATCTAATAAAGACAAATTAACTTTGTGTGGCTTTCCACGCTGGCGTTTGTATTCCAGTTCCCGTATCCTGTGCAATCTAATGTACCTAACGCCTAGCAATGCACCGACATATTATAGTATAGCACACACAAATAGCAATAGCCAATAGCGTAGCACGGATATTTACTAAACTAGTCATTTCACATCCAAAGATAATGGTCAAAGAGCAAACCAACTGCGCACAACTAAAATGTTTTATGTTACTGTAAAAGTAGGAATTACGGTAAGTCCTAAAATTTACCGATAGAAACTATGGTTTTGCAATAAGTGTGAAAAGTTAGTAGATTTTTATTTTTTCGGGCATTTACTATCATTCATTTGGCATATTTTAAGATTCCCTTTAATTATTCTGTCCATGTAACTCGATAAATGGTACGATATCTTGTCTTAGGAGGACAATTCAATAATTTTTGAAATAACAAAAACTAAATCATTTTAACCACAAAAGCGCTATACAAATGTGTTACAGATTTTACTAATAAGTTCTAGCAAATTTTTGTGATATTATCTGATGGGCCCGAGTGTCACACTTGACGACTATGACAAAATTAGTGAGATAAAATGAACGGAAAACTTTAGTTAACTATTTCACGGCCGGTTTTTACATCGTAAGTTTCGTACTCCCGGCTTTAGGTTTTACTAGTAAGTTAAAGGTTTACTTTTTTTACTTTGGTTTACTAGTAAGTTAAAGGGTAAGGAACCTGTAGAAAAAGACGATATTGTATTTAGTTTATTTAAAAATAAAAAAGGAATAAAAGGTTTGGCCAGAGTTTGTGCATTGACAGTAACATTATTTACCATAGAGTAATCCTTTGTCTATGTAATGTTATCTTATGGCAGATGTTTGACATTGACAGGGCCCTGTTAGTTTTAAGAGTTACCCGTTAGGAAAAAAATCTCAACTTCTTTTGAAATTCTCCCGCGTTAAAAACAAAAGCATGTGCTATTTTTTTCGAAACAGAAATGCGAAATTACTAGTATTCCGACATTAATTGAATGTTTCATACATAATCGATACAATAGACACCAAATACCGCAGTAGTTTTATCCCAATCCTTTAGGATTTTCATTATATAAATTATAAATGAATTTTATGGATGGACTTTATAACTTTTTAAAATATTGAGTTGAATAATTATTATGTAGTTAATTATTTTTATTTTATTTAGACAATGCAGTTAAATATTTTTATTTCATTTCGGTCCTTTGTTTGTGTAATTATTAGGCCTTAGAAGGCTTTACATGAAAGTTACCTTTGCCTAAAAAAAATATAGAAAATTAAACGGCGGCAAAGTAAAAACTTAGATTTGTAATATTTTCTCAGAAGATTTGTATCCTGGCTGTTTAAGAAAACGTAGTGGATTATTACCATATTTTGAGTGAGTTACTTTTCTTTACTTTTGTCAATTAATAAACTATAGTTATTATAATAATACTTAAATTAGTGTTTTATACATTTCCATGTTGACGAAATTTGTGAATGTACTCGATGTAGTACAAACTGTCGAAAAACACATAGAGGCTATTTACTTTGATTAAATTTTATAACTTCATGCGGACGGCGTCGTGGGAATGTCGATGTTAGGTATATAATATGAAACACATAATGTATGTTTAATTTTGGAACAAATACTTGCACAGAGAATTGTTTTGTATAAATATATAAATATACCGTGTGTAAATTGCTTGATCCATTCAAAAGTTATTGCGAGACTTTCGAGATATGAGAGCTTAAATGAATAGAAATATTATTTCTTTGAAATCAGCGAGCTGAAAATATCATATAAATTATATTTTAAGCTCAAAAATGTCATAAGTACAATTTTAAGCGCCCAGGGATGGAATTAGCGGGAAGTTGTAGGGATGGCCTTTAAGGTGAACCGTTTTTCTAATTTTTTTTTGTCAGATCGGGCGAATCCCTCTAGATAATCGTCAGATTATGAGACAGTACGTTTACAACATAAAGATGAACCATATATATCTTAATCTGACGCGCATGAGTATTTCAAAATGGCGATTTTTTTTGCACATTATGAATATGGCTGCGAGTTTGCGTCCCATCGGAATCGTCAGATTAGTGAATGAGAGTTTTTTTTTGGTGCCCTTAACACTCAAGTAGAAAATCTGACGCGCTCGGTTAATTTTTTTTTTCATTTTCAACCCTGAAATACAACCACCCGCATCATGCAAACGATCAGATTAACACACGTATGTACATTATTAAAAATAGGTAGGGCATTGATGCTATCAATATCTGACGCGCTCGAGTATGTCCATGCATCAGTTTTTTTAGCAAATGAAGAAAATTAAGGTCTGAATTCTCTCTACGCCGACTTCTCTTAGATTCGAACTTAATTTTTATCTAACTATTTTACTACACTTAAGACATTTTTAGACATGTTCCCGATTCAACGTGTGAAAACATGCGCAAAAGACTACAGAATGACTAAAAACATAGGCCAAGGATCCTTTGGAAGTGCTTATAAACTTAAAAATATTGTCACAAATTCAAAAGTTGCTGGAAAATTTATACGATTGAGTGGAAGGAACAACGAAAACAGGATTCGTAAAGAAATTGCTATTATAGCCAGTCTCCAGCATGAAAATGTAATCGAATACGTGGCATCATATTCTTCCCCGAGGGGATATATAATCGTGACCAAATAGTAAGTACTATTTTAGTAAATTTTGCAAAACGATTATCTACTCAGTGTTTGTTTAATTGCATACAGACTACGTCGCGGGTAGTAGCTAGTCTACACTGACAAATAAAATTGAAGTATCTCTGTGTAATTAACATCAAACAAAGAGGGACATCAACCATCGTGCGGAATAGTGCATATAACTTTGTATCGATTTGCGCATATTTTTATAGATTTTAGTAATGGAATAAACAATTAACAATTAAAGTAAGATTGTAATTCAACACGGATTTACGCGGACAAAAGCTAGTCAACTAGTTTAAATGTAAAAATATTTTATCTTTTGATATACCTACATATGTACTTATGTAGATGACTAATTTTTACCTACCATTTACAGCTACTCTGGCAAAACTCTTTACCATAGGAGATTAAATGAAAACTTTGAAGAGCAAGATGTCGCTTTGTGCGTACGTCAGATCTGTAATGGAATCAATTACATTCATCAAAAAAACATAGTCCACAGGGACATAAAAGCCACCAACATTGTCTTAGAAACCAAACATGGTAAACACGTCCGAATAATTGATTTTGGTCTGTCCTGCAAGTTGGACGACGAAAATAATATCATACAATGCGGCACCAAAACATATTTAGCCCCGGAAGTGATACGTTCGGAGCAAATAACAGGCGCTGTCGACATGTGGAGCCTCGGAGTCTTGACCTACTGGCTGTAAGTACTACTCGTATAGGGACCATAGCATCGATATGCACAAAACAGTACTTGCCATTGAAATTGACACTGTTGTGTCAAGCCATTTATTTTTAAAGTAGTACATTTCCAAATCATTGGTTGTCTTAGACTTGGTAGATAGTTAACTGGGTTATGATATTTATTGTAATACACTTTTGTTTTTACAGATTGTCGCTCACTCATCCATTTCCGGCTTGTTCGGAACAGTCAAGTTTAATTGTAGGCGGGCAATACACGTACAATGCAAAATCGTTTGAAGGCGTTTCGGTCACAGCCCGAAACTTTATCAACAGCCTCTTGGTTGTGCAGACAGAAGTGAGATTGACGGCCAGCTCGGCTCTACAGCACAGCTGGTTGAGTTTGACACTTAACAACGACCCCTCATCAACTAATTAAACACTATTGTGAGTAACTTATTCCATTAATATGTTACTGTGAAAGCGCGATCGTTTCTACACATTTTCGTTGATGTATATAGTGTCCATGTTTTTTGTGGATTATAGTTAATGGCTTGACATTGAAGATTGTATGAAAGTTCTGTTCATTACCTGTATATTTTTTTTTGGTCAACATTAACTACTTATTATTTGAAGTACCTGAAGCTTAGGATTTACACTTTTGCATATGCAGCTAGGGCTCAGATTCTACTCTTAATATGGTCCACATTTGGAAGTATGTTTATTTATTATTTTTCATAGATTTTCTACGTTGCACCGGTAGGGCGAGTGACGAATCAAAGTTTCAATCCAAGCCTCGACCTTTGTCGCTGCGTTACTTCAATATCACTGTTGATTAAAACTTCAAAAATTCAATTATTGTTTCTCATTTCTTAAATATTACTTATAAATGAATTTGTGACAAAGTTATAATAAAAGTAGTAGAGTTTAAATGTTCCGTTTTCTTTAATTTTCCAAATCTTAATTTAGTACATATGTACTTGGCCGTGGAACTGGTATAGTGAGACAAGTTTATCGGCGAAGGTAAAGGATGCGGTGCTATCGGCGGTAGTTGGCATCGAAGTAACAAAATTTAGTTTGATTGATGCCCACCAGGTAAGATAACTTTATCGCCCTATTTACACGTAATGACACAATAATAAAAATCGACAAGAGTTACAAAAACAATAATGTAAAAATAAACCAGTACGAACTCTTATAGTGTCCCTAGATGGAGTTTGAAAATCTCGAACCGAAGTTGTTAACCTTTGCTTGAACATTCCCTTGTTTTCTGTATTTCTTCTTACAACAGTTTTAGTGATATTTGTAAAATAATCTATATCTATACTTCTATACTAATATTATAAAGAGGAAAGATTTGTATTTTTTTTTTTATAAAATAAGGTGGCAAACGAGCAAGCGGCCACCTGAAATTGCCAAAATGGCGAAGCGACCGCTGCCCATAGACATCTGCAATTGCATATGCGTTGCCTACCCTTAATTTACGGAGGAGGAGACACACATAAAGAGGACATTTCCCCTTCCTATGCGTCTCTTCCACCGTCAAATCCACTTTTCCTCCCCATCCTTTCCTCTTAAGAAAAGAGTGGAAAGGGAAAGGGACTAAAATTAGGCCTCCGGCACCACACTCGTCAGACGAAACGCGGAATTGCTTCCACTTCACGCCTGTCCTGTTCACGCTGACGAAGTCGTGGGCAACAGCTAGTTAGTTATAAATTTATGAAAAAATTAAGCTCTCTAGAACCCAAATTAAAGTTTAATGGTCATATTTCCCTTTTTTTATAATTAAAGGAGACTAACAAGCGGCGTGAACACCAAGGCGGTCAACAACGCCCATGAACATCCGTAACACCAGAGGAACTACAGATGCGTTGCCGGCCTTTGAGGAAATGATAGGCTCGCTTCTTGAAGGACCCTAAGTCGTATTGGTTTGGAAATACCGCCGAGGACAGACCGTTCCACAACGCCGCTGTGCGGGGCAGAAAGTTCCGCGAAAACCGCACGGTTGTGGAATGCCAGCCATCGAGATGTTGAGGATGGTGCCTGGCGGTCTGTCGTGTCGTCCGATGACGAAACTCGGCGGCAGGAATCGTTCCAAACAACTTCTCGGAACACTCCCCGTGGTAAATACGGTAAAAAATGCTGTGGGAGCTGACGTCCTTCCGCAAGGCCAGGGAAGCTAGTCAATCGGTAAGAGCTCGGTCGTTGACGATTCGAGTCGCTCTCCGTTGTATAAGGTCAAATGGAAAAAGCTGGTATTGGGATGCTCCCGCCCAAAGGTGCAAGCAGTACTCTGTGTAGGAATTAAGGTTAAAATGTGGCGCCGAGAAATTTTTATTCTGATAAATGTAAATAATCTGTGTGACTACGAATGATAGTTTAAATGGAGTGGAAACATGTTGCGAGAAGGTATTGTGCGCTTGATATATTCTAAGAAATAAATTGCAATATCAGAATTTACGGGTCTCAAGCAAGCTTAGCTATATCGACTTGCTCGCATTCTGCGGGGCTATCGATGCGTGTTCGGTACGGTTTAGACTTATATATTTTTAATTTGATTTTTTAAATGGGTTTGGAAATCTCGATAACACTCCACAGGACATCTGTTTCTTATATTACCACGTACCATAACGGAAGATATTTGTACTTAAGGAAGAAGTGTATCAGTTTATAAAAAGATGTTTTAAGAAAAAAATTATGACTGTTTATTAACTTAACCTATATCCTTACGTAAAATAAGTATTACAAGTTCTATATAAAGTTCCCACAAATATACGGCTGGTTGAAATATATCGTCTTTCGTGACTAACTTGTCTATGTCAAAAAGGCTACTATTTTATCCCTAGCAGACAGGCGAACTTTCCTATCCTATTTTAAATTTGTGAATGCTTTAGTTTCGAACACTTCAAGATTGTACGTCCCAGATTTTAATTTTATTTCTAGTACCAAAAGCTTGAAATTGGATCTGTGATATGTTGAGATGGTTCTATTTACGTTGACTATGTTCTTCCTATACATAATGTACGACTAACTGATAGACATAAACCCACAGCTGAAAGTATTGGGTCACGAGATTTGATATTTAAACAAATTTCTGGGACTGCGCCTTTGCGGGCGTAAGAGCGATTTTTGTCGTACTATTATGGACTAAAAACCTAAAAGTGAAATCACACGCATCTTTGTAATTAACACTAGCGCACATATCCGTGGCCCAGCCAGCGCCAGTCGCCGAGGCAGCTCTATCCGTCTGAGGAGTTCTAAGGCTCTGCTGACGACCACAATAGCATCAGAGAGGTAGAGTTAACTAGTCAACCAAAGGTTCACTTCGCTGCATCATTGGCGGTTTGATCGCGCTTAGTCGCTGTAGATGGTGGAGGCTTACCAAAATAGCGCACTTTTGTGATGAAGGTTTCCCTTCAAGTCCCTGTAGACCATAACGTGGCTCCAAGGTGAACTCTGCTGACTCCACTTCGGCCAGTTCTGCACAACAGGGCGGCCTGGGATTCCTATATTTAGTGATGGCTACTATGTCGGAGTACTGTGTCTATGTTTGAAGATTTAAACATTAAATTTTCATTCGCGTTGCATTAGTTTTAAAACTTTGCCATTATAATGTCATGGTCATTATAAATTTGAATCAGTCCGTGTGTCAGTAGATAAACTTTTTACCTAGTAAAACATTTTAGATAGTAAAACTTCCAAAAATTAAAATAATTTTAAAGTGAATCGAAAAGGTTGGTTAAACAAGCGATAATTTCTTTATTTAGTCTACGAGCTTTTCCCGTGCCTATGCCTATTAATTTGTTTATAAATTATTAATAGTTGAAAGTATTGTTTATGTTATTGTATTATTACTTATACATTGTGTTATTAAAATTATTGTAATATTTTCAAACCATTGTACATCGTCGTGTGTCGTCGCGTTCATTGGAAACTAGTTTGACTGGTTAGACTGACAGTTTTAATTGAACAGTCGAACAGTCGAACATTTGAAAATGTACAAACTTTAATGGGGATGTTTCCTAATGTTACAAATGCAAATAAAGTTAAGTTTAATATTTTAAAGACAGCATTTTATAACCTATAATAACATTTAGAGACCTTGAATGTTTGTCTCAAATTAAATATAAATTAAAAACGT